CCGGCAGCTTCAAGAACTGCTTTTAAGATATATATGTAAAATGAAAAGTATATACTCCAAAACATGTATTTATTGTATCAATATAAAAGGTTCATATATATATATATATATATATATATATATATATATATATATATATATAATATACGCTAAGCACACAGGTGGTATGGGAAGTTAGCCGAGCTGCGCTGCCCAGGGCAGCGCGCCCCAAGCGAGGGGCGCGCGTGAGCGCAAGCTAGAGACTGCGGGAGGGAAGAACGTCTGGAGAATTCACGGAATTACAGAATTGGATCGGTTGGAAAAGACCTCCGAGATCATCCAGTCTAGCCTGTGACCGAACACCGCCATGTCAACTAGACCAGGACACTGAATGCCTCGTCCAGTCTTTCCTTAAACACCTTTGGCGACGGTGACCCCATCACCTCCCTGGGCAGCCCATTCCAATATCTAATCCCTCTGTGAAGAAATTCTTCCTAATGTCCAACCTAAACCTCCTCTGGCGCAGCTCAAGACTGTCTCCTCTAGACCTGTCGCTAATTTAAATTTCCCGCTGAGTTCTGAAAGGACTGCAACCGTGGCCGAAGCAGAGGTTACTTTAAAGAAAAAAAACCGAACAACCCAAAGCGAAACAATCACCAGGCCCTGCAATTCTCCCGGTAGCGCCGCGGGCCCAACCGCTGGCTCCGCTCCCGGGGCGCTGCGCCGCCGCCGCGGTTGCCTGGAGACGGGAGCGCGGCGGCGGAGCGGGCCCAGGTACCGGGGCTGTGGGGAGGCCGCGGCCGCTCCGGGCTCAGGTACCGGGGCCGTGGGGAGGCCGCGGTCGTTCCGGGCACAGCCGCCCCCGGCGGGCCCGCGGGTGCCGTGGGTTGTTCCCGGTGGCCCCGCTCCCCCGGGGCCCCTCTGTGCCAGCACCCTCCCCATGGCCCCGCTGAGGTTCCCTCCCCGCCCTTTGGAGCGCCAGGTGTTCCTTGCCTGCCCTCTGCTATCCCCGCTAAAAAGGAATGAATGTCCTGCAGCAGGGCCGTCCCGTACTTCATCTGAAACGCGGGACTTGTTGGGTTTTCTTCACCATTTGTGAGGCAGTTAATTTTATTGCCTGTTGCATTTGTGGTACTCCTCTCATACTATTTTTTATGATTTTTCTTTATGCTGTAAGTTAATAAGTAACTGGTGATGTCACCTGCTTTTATTTCTGCTTAGCAAAAACCTGGTAACCTTTATTCACAGGACAGGCTTTAATAGACTTGAAACTTTAGCTTGCATTTGGCAGAGCTAGGATATGTGGATCATACAGAGGGACACTTTAGGTGTAAGATTGCAAATTCGACTTAGATTTATTTCTCCTGATGAAATTGGAAAATACTTCGCATGTGTGCAACATACTAATAGCGAGGAGAACAATAGCAAGGCTCCGATCCATGTCTTTTCTCTCTCTGATGAGGGAGAAGAGAGACTATGGGACTATGAGAATGTGTCTAGATCCTGCTTTGTAGCTTTGTCCTTGCTGTCTTGGTCTTTGACTAGTAAATAATTTATACACTTAGCTGCTATGAGAATTGATATCTTCTGTTATTCTCCTTGCTCTCAGGTCTTCGAGCTGTTGTAAGAGCAGCCGTATTCTCTAGTACCTTTTTTTTTCCTTGGGATCTTGGGTTGATTGCCTAAACTGACTTTTATTACTAATTTTCTAGTGCTGATGGATAATGATATACAGACAGCACTGGTTTCTATGCCTGATTTACACTTGGGTATTTCTCTTTCTGTATATAAACACTATAAGACTTCAACTTTTTTTAAAATGAAAGTAAGTTTTACAAGACTCTTCTATTTGCCCATTTTGCACTCATCAGCAGCCCAGTAAATTGCTGATGTACTCTGATGTGGTCTGAACGCAAAAAGGAGTGCTGAAAGAGATGTTTGATTGTCTGCTGTTTTTCAAAAAGAAATGAAAGATTCAGGAAAAAGTGCTGAAGAGAGACTGTGCTTGAAAGTGATTTAAAGAAACAAAACTTGGCAGATGGGAAGAAACCTGACACATCCAAAGCAGAGCTAGATTTGAAGAAGATTCCTCACCCTGGAAGAGATGATCAGCATGGAGCTCCTCATGGCAGACACCCCTCATGATACCCAAATACTGCAACTGTGTTTTAGGTAGCTGTGCTACTCCCAGGTCAGAAAGAGCAGAGAGTGCAGCCTGGAAGGCTCACAGTGCAGTGCTAAGAGGAGTCAGGATTGGAAGTCCTGGGACAAACAGTTCCTTCATGTGGAATGAAAACAACTGAAAGAATAACACAATCTCTTCTGAAAGAAAGACCAAGTGTCCTGTTTTATTTTTTTTTTTCCTTCCCCAAAGCCCACCGGTGGGTAAAGTTTTTTAAAAAAACTTTACAAAACTTTACAAAAAAATTAACACATTTTGGAATGAACAACAACAAAAAAAAAGCCTGCAGAAGTAACACAATGTAGAGATAATTTTTTAAATCTCTTGCTTATTGCTGGTACTTATACCACTGCACTTTTATTCTGCAGTAATAGTTTCCTATTTCTACATAAACTGATTTAGTGGTCAGAACTGATGATCTCTCTTCTGTGGATGTGAAAGATGATAGGTGATGTCATTTAAGCACACTTAAACAGTTAATGGTGGGGCAGAGACAGCTTAAAATAACTGTTAGATATGTTCTGGTTTCTAAAGTAAAACTGTATGCTGCATTTTGATCATTATTTAATTTCATGTACTTTATGCAGTTGAAGTGTCAGTCACAGGGTTTATGAAGGCAAGAACTGCATTTATGGGGCTTACACATGTAAACATCTTTTTTCTGGAAAGAAGTAAAGTATAGAATGACAAAATAGAAAGTAAGTGGTGTCATCTCACTGTATTTGTTTACGTGTGAGGAAATAAACATCCATTTGATTTAATTTACTGCATTTTGAATAAATGAGACAATTGTCTGAGATAAGAAATCGCTTAATGTCCAAATTTGGGAGGAGAATTTTTGAGAAGCTTCCAAATATAAAGATTCTGTGTGGCAGCAAAATTGACAAACAAGATTTAGTTTTGGAAAAACTGAAGTAATATACCTGAATGAACACATTTCTCCATTCTGTGGCTTTTGAGAACATAACTAAGAAAAAGGCAATTTGAAAGAAAATGGATCTTTGCTGAAATTCTCAGCTTGTAGCACTGTCCACTGAAACAAGGATAACCTGAATTCAGTCCTGACTTGGAACGCGTTCCTGAGTTCTTGGAAATGATGAAACTGATGTGGATCTGGTACAGTATTTCAAGTCAATGTCTTGATTTACTAAGACTAGGAGGAAAATATACTGCTCTGGTCAGGCATTGGCAGAAAAATTATGATTGCTAACTTGTTTTTTTTTTCCCACTAGACTTGTCACACCAGTTCTATGTGTCACTATCTCAGTTTTCGGTATCAAAAGGCTTAAATCTTTCTGATTTAGGATATCTCTCGCAAAAAAACCTGCCAACTCCCCTCAGGAAAATAAAATCAACATTCAGAGAGATGCATGCCTTTGTCATGGTGAGCCTGCACAAGAGTTGTCTGGATCAGCCAACTCATGAAACCCAGAATCTGCAGCCAAAGTAGACACATTACCCCCTTGAGCTTCTTCTGAGTCCTTAAATTCAAAATTTGCTTTGGCACAGTGCTTGAATATCTTCACAAAAATGTGCACAGTGGACACTGCAGTATCTTTCTTTAACTTGAACCCAGATATCAATGCAGGTGGAAATGTTCATATCATCTTTCAGCCTAAAGCATTTTCCAGATAGGAATTAATTTATAATGAAAACTATGATAGTTTTAATTTTTAGAAGATAAATGATTGCTAATTAGTCACAATAATTTGAAATCTTATAGCTCTTTTCTCTGTGGATATCAAAACATTTCGCTAAGATGGGTAAGTGTTATTATCTAATTTTTCACAGGAGATAACTGATACAGCCAGAGGTGAAATGGCTGATACAAATTGTACACGTCATTACTGGGTTTGGAATTAGAATTCAGGTCTCTGAACACTCCACTATCTATTTATGCAAATGGTCTATAACTATTTCTTCAACTTCAGTGGTATCAGTTGTGTTACCCCATTAAAAACTCATGAATTTCATTTAAATATATTGAAACATATTGCAATTGTTTTCTTTTCATTTGTTTTCTAAATGTAAAACTTTCTGCTTGTCTATTTTCAAGTTTTTCTCAGCACTCCTAAGGGATAAAAGCTCATTTGTAATTCTTATGTGAAATTTTGCAGGACAGTCAGATTCTGGCAGATACTCAGGACTTTTGAATGAAGATTGGCTACATACCAAAAGGAATGACATATCTGAAATATTTCTTTGTCCTCCTTGTCCTTCTCATGGATGGCATTATGTTAGGACACTTTGCCTTTCTTGAAATATCAGAAAAGCCTGAAATTCCTCAAAATATTTTTTCCAAATGGATTCTGACCCAAAGCTGGAAACAGGAAATTAATTTTAGTGGTATCAAAGTTACGATTACAAGTGAAGAGAGATTAGCTTGCATCCTGCCATATTTCTTATTCTGAATGTTCATGTTTCTTTATATACAACTTGTGAATTTTCTGATTTCGGATAGTTTTTTTAATGTTGTAATATTGATACAAAGTTGCTCTAATGTGCATTTTAAGGAGTTTCATTTGGAAATAGAGAGCACATATGAAATGAAAAGGCAGAAAAAAGATGGCCTGAAAGATGAAAATCATGTGAGGGAGGGGTGTTATTAAGCTGTTCCTTTTTTTTCAAATGGTGTCAACTTTTAATATTTGTTGTCCATTATAAAATGTTTTGAAGAAAGTCCTGTTTTCTTAAAGATTGATCTCTCTTGCTTTTCCATTCACGATATTAAGTGATCTCAGAATGTCTATCTCCAGCTATTTTTGTGAAGTCCACCACAAAGATGAAGGAATAGCCTTGTTGTCTCAAAAGCAGATACCATCCCAGTATATGAAAGAGAAGATCAACACATTTAAATCATGTGTTTACATAGTAAATGCATTACACAGGATTTAGATTAGAGTCTTGCTGTAGCAGTTTATTCAGAGCCTGAAATCCTAAAACCTGAGCCAATTAATTCACTCTACAAAGTAGGACATATCTTTGGGTTATCCATATTTGTGTACCAGCAGAAGACAAATAGCATCTTTGGGAATCCCAAATCATTTGAGAGGAAATGAAAATGGTCTAAATGGCAAATAAAGGCAACAATACTAATGGTTTTCTTTACCACTCCCAGAGAGAGAGGACATCCATCTTTTCCAATGGAACAGGAACCAGCAGAAGATGCACACGCAGATCCCAGTGGTGAGAATTTTCCCATAACATTGTGATTTCAGTACTGAACCTACAGTAATTTCTGGCTTCTTCCACCACTCACCCCTTTCTTACTTCATTTCCAGTTCCTGCTCTTGGTGTTGCCAAATTTTGTTATATATAAGTAAAACTTTATCAAAGAAAGACCTTATAAAACTATGTTTTAGACCTTATTACTTCAGCTAAGCTAACAGCTAGCCTGATAATTTCCCATGAGAATAGAATCTCATGACAGTGTAAATCTGCTTATTCTCATAAGGAATTTTAAAATTGTGACAGCACTTGTGAAAACTATCCTAGATGGTTAGAAGAAGAATGCAAACATCTCTAAAGAAAGAAACCATAGTAAGCACAGTGGCCACCACTAACAAACTAACTAATCAAACGAGGTAACAACTACTACCAACCAATTACAGTTAAGCATGATGCTTTAAAAAAAACCCTGTAAATTCAAGTTATGTTTAATAAAGACATCTTTTTCACTACTTAAAAAAGTGTGTATCTTGTCTATCTCTAACGCAAATCATAGTGACAAAATTTTATTTTTACTCTGGTCAGATTGAAGTTCTGGACTAAGCACTGTGCCTGCCATTCCTGCTGTGCCTCAGCTCTCAAAGTCCCTCCTCTGAAAATTTTTGCTGCTTAGACCTATCTCTGTAGCTAATACTGAAATCAGGTTTTTAACTCCACTGGACTCTTTCAGTCAGAGGCCAATATTTTTCTTTTTAATATATTTTTCATCTTGAAATGCCTGTCCAGTGTCTATTTCAGGTGTCCTGAATGTCATCTAACACAGTAGATCCAGGTAGCATGAATAACAAATCCACTTTGGAAGGATTTTTTTATGTATTGCTGAATTACTTTTGGCATTTGTTTGATCTTCCTATTTCATCTTTTTGCTGTTATAGGATGTGTTTGTTTCTTTCTTTACACTAAGTTTTAAATTACAATTTTTTGAAGTAAGCTTCTTCCCTACACTTAATGCTAAACGGCAGGAAGTCTGTTATTGGACAGAGGAGATTCTTTTAGTACTACAGAATGATATATTTATTTAATATGGCATGTATGAGCAAATTAGTCAAAGGAATTCATACCTAAGAGGGTGATCCCCAATTATAGTTTGCAAAAGAAAATAAAATCAGTGTTTCAAAGGAATCACCAACTGCACAGGAACAGGAGGAAGAAGAGGACCAACTGGAATCAGACATTGAGAACACTGCTGAGAACTGGTGTCCACTGAGGAGATGTTGGCACAAACTTAAAACCCCCAGTACTTTCTAGTTTTCATTGTTTTTACTATTATTATTAGGAACAGTGTAACAGCCTCAGACTGTATTCAGTTTCAGTGATTGACCCTTTTGCTTGTTTCTCATGGAATGCCTAGGAGAGAGAAGAGTCAGGACATCATGAAATGCTTACAAAATAGATTTAATCTGAGATGAACAACTGGAAACTACTTTTAACGAGTGTTTATGACTAGTTGGAAGTCAAGGTGACAGTATTGTGCATTGCAATCCAGTGAGGAACTACACCGGGTCACACTTTAGCAGTTTGCTTTCTTGAGGACAGTGGTGTCTTCTGGTGGTCCATTATATGTGGTTTTAATAATTGTTTTGTGTAACAATGTGCATTCAATAGCTACTGAATAGAGACACTTTAACATTTGTTTGGTTTCTGAAGTGGAGACCTAAATACCAAGCAAACCTCAACTGAACTGCTTTGGTAAGTTAAAGTCTTAATGTTTTAAAACCAGTATTTTTCAAATGGTCTCAAAATGTTTCTTGTTTAAATTCTTCAGTTTTGAATATTTACAGTGAAGTTTTTAAAAGCCTGCAGAAGTATTTGTTGCAGACTGTTCCAGGACAAGTAGTTACTAAGACATGGGACTCTTGTTTTGAGAAATGAAGTATTGATTGCTCTGTCAAAGGGGGCAAAGAATTATGATCCTTCCCTTTTATCGTTAGGTGCACATATCAGCAACTAACCCAAAACATATGGTGAATATACATTTCTGTTATGTTCCCACTTCTGAGGTGCAGAAGGCAATTTGGATGAACAAGATAATAGTCAAGTATCTTCAGAATCACAAAAAAGGCCTGAGGAGATAAAAAAGAAAATTGCGGAAACCTTCTTCTATATGCGTGAAGATGTATATTCAGGACCATATGCCACTGATGACCTTGAGATATCCACTGACCTTCTTATTTTTAAGTATCCTTTCTGTTGGGCTTGTGCAAATTCATAGCTGATGAAATTTAATATATGCTTTCAAAATTGTATTGGTCAAATTTGGAGTAGCCTGTGCAGCATTAGTGGGATTCCTTTGATTGAGACACAGGTAAAAATCCTGGCCAGTTATGGTTCTGGGTGAATTTAATCCTAAGTGTTGTCTTGACCTCATAAACATTTCTTACTGGGCATAGTGCTTACTATCATAAGTACTCCTGTACATCTAGATCATGGAGAAGCTAATGTGACCAGACAGAAGACTGGCATAAGAATATGCCTTGCAAAGCTCTCCCTTTCTCTGTAGCCATGCTGGTGATCCCCAAGAAGCTGAGGGGAGGGCAGAAGAGCTCCTGTGTAAATAGTAAGGGAGAAGTGGGAAAGGAACCAGGTTCATTTGTATTCTGGTGCTTGGAAGACTTAAACTGGTAGAATGAAGGAAGTGGTGCCCATCAGTTAAGAGCCACGATAAACTTTTTGGTAGGTGTGGCCACATAGGGTAGGATATGATATGTGACTTTCATATATGCTGGTGGTTTTCTCTGCAGACAACAGTTCAGTTGCTACTGAAGACTGGATTTCCCCCTTTTTACATCTGCCTGTAAACAATTAAGAAGTGAGCTTGAAAACTTGCTTGGTTTGATCTCTTGTCTGTAGAACAGTTTCTGGTAATCTGATGCACATCTTTCACACTTCATTTGAAAAGAGAACACAGATAAAATATTTATTCCTTGCAGCTCCAAATGATCCAGTAGAAACAAGAGGCATACCCATAGTGGAGATGAAAAGATGGGATATGAACTTTACAAGGCCTTTACTTGTGTCTTCTTTTCAGTTATAGAGTCAAGATAGATCTTACTTTCACATATACCGAGGAAAATTATCTCCTGCCATCAGGCTTAGTCACTAGTTTCAGTATTCCCATTTCAGTTTTAGTTTAAGCATTTCTAACCACTTAGCAAACTGTCTAGAAAGCCAGTGTCTAATCTTTTCCTTATTGGACTGTTGCCAGACATTCTTTTGGATATGACTGTACCAGACCTGTAAACCTGATGATGATGGATGGACATACTGTGGGGCATATAGCAGGCAACCAGGTGGTGCTCCAGAACCTGAGAACTAAGTATCAGAAATACATCAGGAGCAGCGGTGGCGGAGGAATTGGGTTTATCACAGTATGGCTTTTGTTTATTAAGAACTTTAGTTGCTTTCTAGGATAAAAAATGTTTGCTTGGTTGTAGTTGTCAGATATGGGAGACTTCTACATTTGCACATGCATATGCATAAGAAAGTATGGTATTGATTAAAGGAATGTGTGGACCATGCAGGATTGGCTTCCCATCAATATAATTAGCAGAGAATAAGTATCTGCACACCTTAGTCCCAGGCTCAGCTACCTAAAAGGACTGATAAGTCCAGCTGGGATTAATTTTTAGCACTTTTGAATTCTTATTTAAATCTTTTGGCTCATAGCAGTTTTATTTTTTTTTCAACACTTCATCCGTCCTAATCACAACTGATACTAATATAGAATCTTACTTGCAATTAAAATTTAGAAAATTAAGCTCCCACATAAATGAAGAGACAAAGTATCTGGTTTCACTCTAATAAAATTATCAAGAGCTTGAAGTCTGAAGTTCTGTCTCTGAATTTGAAGCACCTTATGAGCGAGACTTTCAGACTACCATCCTCAGACTGTCCTGCTTCATCAAAACAACCTTTTCTGGGAATCAGTGTATGTTTTTATACCTTCAGAGTGAAGTAGATGGCTGGTGACACAAATGCTGCTATGGAAAGATCAACTCGTGGGTTGAGTTAGGTAGGAATAGTAAAAGGATGCATCACAAAGCAGATTGTTTTACTGTTTGCCATGATGCCCAATATATGTGTGATAGCATTTTGTGTGCATAGTGGCTTCATTCTGATATTGAGCAATAGACTAGCAGTTGTTCAGAATAAACACACAGGAAAATGCAATTAGTATTTATGGCAGTATGTATTGACTAATGAGTGTGTGAATACAATAACTCAATATTTAGCAGGATAAAGACAAAGGTGTTATTACAGCGTGCAACAGGACTTCTGCTTTTTCAAGGCACACCCTAGTAAGGAGTACTTTGCAGTTGGAGAAAAAGGAAAGAAGCCAAACATTGTCATCTACACATATCCTTCGGTGAGGCCCTACAGAATACTGAAAGGTAGTGTAAATAGTTATATTTTCATTTTATACAGATGGATTAGTGTTTAAAGATTCCAGCAGATGGAGTAGTGGATCATTTTTAGTTTAGAAGGAAACAGAATCTTTTAGTCCTTCACAACAAAAATAGAAAACACTGGTTTCAAGCTTTTTCATTATTGCATGGGAAGAAACTTTTATTTGATTGAGATAGCCAACCTAAAGCCATTTCTTACTGAAAAAATAATATCCGTGAAAGTTGAGCTCCTTGAGTATATTTTTATGTTGTTTTTACGTCTTTCCTGTGCATATCTATTGGGACTTGTACATTTCTTTAGGTGGAACAGAGGTAGCCTATGTTTTTGGTGATTTCAATCATACTGGCACTTTGCTGGCCAGTGTTGGGAGCAGCCCTGACTACATGTTGACTATCTGGGACTGGAAACAAGAAGAGACTCTGCTGAGGTCCAAAGCTTTTGCACAGGATGTGTACAAGGTCATGTTTTCTGCTGAGAATGAAGAGCATCTAACTACAGGTGGATCAGGACACATCAGGTAGGCTTGCTGATTAGGATTAATACATAACACCTCTGCAGTCATAATACATAGGAGATGACAAACAAGAATGTATCACTACCAAACATGTACCAATGAGGAATGCTATTTTATCTGACCCTTACAATTACAAAAAGGAGGAATTTCAAATCCTTCAGCCAGTCAAAAAATCTTTCAGTATCTTTGTTGTCCAAATAGGATGATGCTTGGTGTTAAATGTCAGTATCTCTAGCTTCATTCTTGTAATTTCAACAAGCGCTGGGAAAAAGTAATGGAAAATACTTACATATACATGTCTTCTGGGTGGTAACATAGGATATTTGCCTGCTGGGCTTTCTGCCTTTGATTTCTTGTGCTCATCTGCTCTTTGGACAGCCATTAGAGCTGGTTGCCAAGTCATGGTTCAGAAACGCTCTGATTGCACCAAAAGCCTAAAAAAGATGTTTCCATCCATTCTCTTCCCTGCTAAGATCATGTCTCCTTTTATAAAAAAGGATCAGACAGAGGATTTGTGTTCTGTGCTTATCCAATACTCAAATGTTAACACAGCAGAGATTTATGCTATGAGTGGGATTCTGTTGTAATAAAAATTATATCTTTAAAATGATAATGTGTCTAAAGTTTCTTTGAATTTTAATGGGGAAATCAGATCAAAATCTGAGATTTGCTTTATAGTTTGGTTGCAAGGTGGATCTGAAATAGCAAATGATTTATTTAGTCACAGAACAAATGTGGTTGAGAATACATTATTTATGGAAATCTGACAAAAAATCTCTTATAAATTTTCTTTTGAGCTAAAATACTGCAAATAAACTCTGACATAGCTTTTATTACATGATAAATGTGACCTTTCACCCAAATGTGGACTCAAATTACAATTTCCAATAGTTATCTTAAAAGTAATGTCTCCTGCACACACAGGAGACAATATTTAGGATAAAAACCTTTGGCTCAGCAGGATTTTATAGGACAGTTTAATTCCACAAGAGGACTTGGATGACATTCAGCAAAGACCTCAGTCCCTTGGATTTACAAAACTGAGCATCATACACTCCACACCAAGAATAAAATAGGTATCCCTAACTATGTGTATGGGTTGTAGCTGGAAAGATGTAGCTGTGGATACTGGATTCAGGGAAAACTCACATTGTTGTATTCCCTGATTCCAGTATCCACATGTAGCTGTGGATTTTACACTTCTTAATTCCAAATAGTAGTTTAATCTTCATTCTGCCTATTCCAAATAATTTTCCTAGCTTTTTCATAGGAGTAGTATAGGAAAATGTTTGTGTAGTGGTAAAGCTTTATGTTATTTTCAAAAGAAAAATACCCAAGTTCTCCGGCAAAAAAAGAATACTACATGAGCAGCCCTTGCCTCATGGCAGGGCATGCCTGGTAAGAGTATTGCAATGTCTGAGAGGGACTGAAGAGTGTTTAGGAAATTTTTTATCAGAGAGGAATATGTTTTTCTGTACTCAGGTTCTGGAAGATGGCTCTCACATTAACTGGTCTCAAGTTACAAGGAGCTTTGGGCAGGTTTGGAAAAACAGCAGTATCTGACATTATAAGTTTTGTGGAGCTGCCCGATGGGAAGGTAAGTAAGAAAAAGTGACAAAAGGAAAAAATGTTATGTACCCTTTTAGGCTTTCATATAAAGTCTGCTTTGTAAGTTAGAGAGTACCTATTTGCTTAAAAATGTTTTTAAAAATCAGTCCCGTGGTGCACTGTTCGGAGAAGAAAATATTGACAATTTGCCCAAACCCTTTCTTGCTTTGTAATAATTGGAAAATAGTTAGTGCTGTGATTCACAGAGAAAGATCTGTGTTGGCTTAGAGCTGAGCATCTTCTAATGTGAAAACAGTGTACAGAAATACAAAGAGACTGTTGATCCTAATCTTCAACCATTTCAGTGCATGCAAATTGCTAAAAAGTTGAACCTCCTCACCCTTTACATTTTCTCTTGCAAATGTGTGTATTTTGCCATTGATTTAATGCTTTCATGGAAGGAAGCAACAAATGTTAACTGGTTTCTTGCCTGCATTTCTGCACGATTACATGCACGTGCTTATATACTTATCTTCATTTGCATTGAAGGTTGTCTCAGGAACTGAATGGGGCAATTTGCTTCTTTGGGAAGGTGGCCTCATTAAAGTAGAGCTCTGTCAAGCTGGACATAAGCCCTGTCACGAGGGCCCTGTCAGCCAGTTAGTTTTTGATGAAGGAGAACTTTACTCTGTTGGAAAAGATGGTGTCATTCGGGTGAGTGTTTCTTCTGCTCTGCCTTTAGGTGTGCAAATGTATGGTCAGCAGGTAAATGTTACATGTTTCCTTTACCAGGTTTTTGGAGGAAACTTAGGAGTGCAGTTTCTTTCTGAAAATTATATCTTAGAACAAAGAAAATAAGAGCACATATCCACAGTGTACGTCTGAATTGGATAGCATGCACTCAGTTTTCCTTGTTTAATAGTAATAAATACATCAGCTTTTATTCTAGCAAATCAAAATAATCTTCAGTGGTTTTCTAATAGCTTTGTTCTTGACTGCATTCTAGCATTTTATAATTTTCAGGCCTATTAGCACGTGGTGTTATCTAAAAGATAAATAATAGACTACAGGAATATTTGAAATTAATTTTCTGAGTGTTTAGAAGCTCGGATTATTAATGTTAAAATAACAGAGAAATTAACTAGCATCTCAGAGATACATATCCTGAAATAGGGGAAAATTAAAAGAATCTTGAAGTTAACAAATAATTCTATAAATTAAGGTCATAATGTTTTCTTTATGCATAACACCACTTTCTGATCTCACCTGTCAATGATCAAGAATTTTGGAATCTTGTTTCCCTGCTCTTTAAGGGAGGACATGATGTGTCTTCTGCTGATGTATAAAATGAGCCAGATAATCAATGGGAAACTGACCTATAGACAGTGGAGGGTTTCAAACACTGTTATTGTTGTTATTGTGTTTTGTAGGTTGGTGTTATCCCCTTAGGAAAATTCACTTGATTATAAGTGCTAACTGATATGTTGTCCTTATCCTACAGAGCAGAACATGGAAGGGTTAGACTTCCCATTATTTTGTGCTGCCTCAGTATGAGTGCCCACAGATACCATTTATTCTGAAGCTGCCATGTATAGCTCTACTAGTGTCAGGGCTGAATTGAAGCTCCTGTCACTGTTCTAGGTTACGTTCAAAGCAGTGATTTGATTTTGTTTTCTTAAAATTTCGATTTTCCATATTTATTGTGTATGAAAACAACCTGGTCCTACTTTAAAAAAAAAAAAAAGCTGGTTTTTTTTTGTGTTTTTTTTTTAATGTTTCCAATGCCATAAAGATGTGGAACTTCGAGGTAATAGATACTGCTGATCCTGTGGATGACACAGGGTTAGTGGAGATGGAGCCTATGAATGAACTTTGGCTTGGCAAGAATGTCAGCCTGAATTTCATGACAAAAATTCTTGACCATGGACAGCCCTTTTGGTATGCTCAGGTAAGACACTGGGGTAGATCCATTCCTGTGGAGAAACACAAAATGAGGGAGGTCATGGTAAGTAATAGGAGGAGTCCATTACAAATCAGTGTGTTTCTTTTTGGTAGAATTCAATGTTCTTCTGCATATATAGAAAATCTTTTTATCTACCTACCTACCTACTTACCAACCTCCAGATTTTTTTTCTTTAAACACTGAAACAGACTTCCTAGAGAGGTGGTTTAATTTCCAAGCCTGTCAATGTTTAAGAGGCACATAAAAGAGGCCCTTAATAATATACTTTAACTTTTGATCAGGCCTGAAGTGATCAGGCAATTGTATGAGATGATCCTTGCAGGTCCTTTCCAACCGAATTATGCTATGTTATGCTGTGCTGTGTTTCTGGTGTACAGTAATGTGTGAGACTCTGGCATAAGAACAGGAGAATGCCAAAGGGTATTGTCCAAGTTCTATTACCTAAAAGAGATGGGTGGGGTTCATAAGACCAATATCATTGCATTTAGTAATTTCTGTTTCATGATGATAATAATTATGGAGTTTTTAAGAAGTCACCTTGTGCAGTTTTATTTCCAAACTGAGTCTGAAATTATTCAATTAATGTTTTTTCTTCTTCAGGATACAAGTGGAGCAATATGGAAGCTGGATTTGACTTTTTCAAATATGGTAATTTTGTTTTTTCTTTCTTCTGATTTCTTCAGTTAATTTGCAATAGGAACCATATCCTATTACATCCTGTAATTATACTGGTTGCATCTGGAATTAAGTTTTTGTTTTATGAAGTTGCACAGTAGAAAATTGTAGCATTGAAACATATTTTATTTCATAAAAATTTTCAAATGTAATTGATTGTAATGATTGTGCAGGATGATAAAGAGGAATTTGATTTTCAATTCCTGGAATTTCAGCTGCCAAATTCAAGTTACTTTAAAGGAGTTTGATTCTGATAAACTGGTAATGAATGTTTCATGGTAAACTGGTAATGAAAGTTGCATGGATGCAAGGAATGAGTTCAAGGAGTGTTGTTATATCCTCTATAGATAGGTGTTTGAACCAATCCTTACTGTAATCTTTAAATGACAGAAAGAACTAGAAAAAAACAAGGAGAAGATAAAAGACACTTGAAGTGTTTTATCCTACTGGTAACTAATGTTACTGTTGGAGATGTTTTTAATAGAGAAATAGATGATACAGGTGAAAAAGGGGCATTTAAATTTTGCTCTGGAACATAATAAAGTAAATAGGAACAATCCCTTCTGGGGAATAAAATTCTAATGTGAAAAGCAAAATATGTTCCAAGAATTTTATGGTAATTAAAAGACTCATACTATACAAACTAATGTAAAAAAAATTATAGCAAAGTCGGTAGTTCCTTGGATGATGAAATTATTTCTCAGGCAGCATAAGCCTGCATAAGCACAAGTGTAAAATGCAGCAGAATTTCTCTTGTGTTTTGAACTGCAGACCCATGACCCAGAGCGCGTGTGTACCTTCCACTCTGGGAGGATCGAGGCCATCGGTGTCTCTCCCTTTACATGTCTGATGGCCACCACAGCTCTTGACCGTAAGTGCACTGTTCCTTTCCTCTCATGCCACTGCCATTGGTTTTAAAGGGCAGTGATGCTTGCTTTGGAACTACTGTGTTTTGTGTTTGTGCATCTGCTCTTGCAAAGTCACTTTACACGCAATTGTTATTCCGGGGATCAGTTCTTTAATAGTTAAGGCAAATTATTTTTGTTTTGAAACAAGATGTTAAGACTGCTTCATCTTAAAAACCTGTGATTTTAGCAACAGACGTTTTTAATGGGAAACTTTGGAAATTGTTTGTTCTGAAGGAGTGGCTGAAAAGGTGAGACATCTGGTTTGAGTAACAGCGCTTGTATTCAGAGCTGGGGACTAGTAAGTGTTGGGATATTTATCTTGTAAGGAATTACATACACCTCCAGCATTGTGTTAGCCATTGCACATATTACTGTTTGTGCCTTTCTTAGAAAATGCAATAGCTATTATGCTCTCAACAACAGATAACAAATAATTGCAGACATATTAATTTAACTTGTGTAAATATTGCTGTTTAGGACTCTCACTGCTAGCTTTATTGTGCTTTGAAAGAAGAACTACTGGCCAGAACACTAACAATGTCATTTACACTGTTCAGAAAACACTACAAGGTCTTTTGACTCAATTCTTGTCAGTACTGTCTTGTAATTTGTCTGTGTTATACAATGCACATATTCTTCTAGCCTGAAGACAAACTCCTACCAGTTGAGCAAACAACATTTCACATATATGCCAGTTGGAACGGAATTTTATGCAATCAGTATGTGTGCCTATGAATCTGTTAATTTTCCCTCTGATGAAATTGGATCTTTTGTGGACAATCTCTTATATTTTCCTCCCTTTAAATGTTTTATTCCCTTTAAATGTTTTCCTCCCTAGGCAGTCCCAAGTAGTAGCCTATCATCTTTTTCTATGTTGTCAGTACAGATTTTCCTCAGAGTATGCCACAATTCTGCAGTCACTTGAAAATTACATGTGGATTGTCAGCCTGGGACTTCTTATTACAACCCTCAGCCTCGACAACTCTTGGTTCTGTATACGTTGAAGAGTGAAAAAACCCATATATTTTCATGAGCACCATGCTAGCTGTGGTACTCTGTAACCATCAGTCATCTTTCTAGACAGGCATTTTGTTGCTCAAAAGAGAAACCATACATTTTATCCAGATTTTAATTCAAATAAACATACATTTCTCCATAAATCCTAACAATGTAAGTGACATTGCAAGAAATGAATTCTTACTGTTTCCTTTCCACACAGGGTCAGTGCGCATCTATGATTTTGGCAGCAACAGCCAACTGAGTGTAATCAAGTTTAAACAGGGAGGAACAGCACTGACATGGGCACCGGCTGTTGTGAGTTTTTCCTAGCATGTTAGCAAAAATTCATCAAGGAGCCTATGAGCCTGCCAGCATCCAGGAAGCTGCACACCAAACAAGACATTAGAGGTCACTTGGTGGAATTTACTGTAGCAGGATGCATGGATAAGTTTGTGGGGAGTATGTTTATATACAGTATAGGAACAGTTTACTATGGATTACCAGGTATCCTACTTTGTGCCTTCCTAAGATTTTAAAATCAGATCTCAGTGTGCCGTACGGGAAGTAGTCTGAGTTTGTAGACTAACAGCTTCTATTTAACCCACACAGAGAAATTGTCAATTAACATGAGTTAGTTCACACATTTTGAAATGACAGCCCAGACAAATCACAAACATTTGGAGATAAATCATTAAAAACTGCTTGCCAGAACTGATCATTTGTGGAGTGTGGAGTCTATCACTTTTAGACATATTTGCTAATTTTAATTAAAATAGCATCTAGTTATATTCTTGAGAAAACATAGCAAGTCTGATGGATTAAGTACAAGCACATTTAGGAGGAAAATAATTACTTGAATGTTCAAGGTGAGAGTTCCACTAGGGGAGTGCCTTTATTTTATAAAAATAATTATTTTATAAAAATGTAATTCTGGCCATGCAGGCTTTCAGAGATGTTAAGTGGTGGCCTGTACCTTCATGACGTAAGCTGTCTGCCACAATAAATTGTACAGTGTAGAAGGCCTCAGCTAGCTCCTGGGAAAGTTTTGTGTAAACATGGGCTTTCCCAGGAGCTGGCCTGGGAGCTGGAGTTTTCCCAAGAACAAACAAAAGCACCTTCTACTGTTTACAAAGTGTGTATTTTGAGAACTTTGTTGTTTATAATGAAAACATCTGTGCAAAAAATACCCCATGCTCTAACCAATCAGCTGTATTCTGTCTCTGGAGTAGTGAGTAGCTGTACTTAAACGTTTAAGACAGTGTTACAGTAAACTCGTCTCCTTCCTATCTTGAAGGATGACCGCATTGCTGTGTATTTTATTATGGCCGTTCCAAGGGTTAATCCCCTAACATACAGCCACAGTACAGCACCACAAAACTGACTCGGTTCAGTTTTACAAAACTTGTTAGTAAACAGTCCAAAAAACAAAGGGTACTTAGTCTATCCAGCTGCGTTTAAAATTGCATTAGATACTTGGTCACAGTTTAAAGTCTGCAAATGTATTTTAAAATCTGTGCTATTAATCTCAGGAAACTTAGGAGCATCTATATACCATAACTTCCTCATAGGCAAGCTAGCAATATTCTTGTTAGATGAGTGAACACTGTCAGCTTGTAATTGACTTCAAGATACTCAAATAACAAATATCAGCTAAATCCATAAGTCCAGCTATATCCAGCTAAAACACAGGCCTGTTTCTGCTAACCTTTATCACAGTTCAAGCCTGTCTTAACTGTTAGCAATTGGCTTACCTACAGGACTTATGGTAGACTCCTTTCCGTCTCAAGTAGCAGTCCCTGTTGACTCCTGTACTTTATGTGGAGTCAGTCAGACCCAAGCCTATGCCCTGACCTTTTCAAAAATCATACTTAGGTTTGGTGCCCCGTATTATATTCAGGGTAATATAATTCTTTCTTCTGAGTTCCAATTCTTCTGCTTAAGAAGGTACTGATATATCTTTATGACAGTATGAATTACCTCTTCCTCAGACATTACAACCATATCGTCATTAATATCTTCAGTCTCAATGGCATATTATCACTAAAAAAAAACCCCAAAATAGGCCCCAATCCTCTTTCTTTCTTTATGGTACTGTATTAGAGAGAATAAACATTTCCTATGTATGACATATTCTTTGTGCTTTAGCAACACTTCCATGTAAGGTGAGTTTAAAGATAAACACCAAAGCATGTGCCCTATGGATAATTCTTCTAAGCTCTCAGATGTACACTGTGATTTTTTTTCTTCATTTCACTTAAAGGTGAATCCTGAAGGAGGTCTAATTGCTGTGGGGTTTGAAGATGGTATTGTCCGCATAATTGAGGTTTATGATCCCAAACTGCTGCCTGGTCGTGAAGGACAGGCCAAGGAGAGTGCAGAGATAAATCTGAAACAAGTTTTCAAACCTCACACTGCTGCAGTTACAGCCCTGGCCTATGAACGAAAGGGAGATGTGTTTGCCACAGGGGTATGTATCATTTAGTTTGGTTGTTTTTATTAAACCACAAATGTAGAGCTTTTTAAAAGAGGTAAGGTAAAGTCTGTTTACTGACAACACAGTTTTACTTCTGTTGCTCATGCTGATTGCTTGTTGTAGTTCTCTGTGGTGGGAGAAGGATTTGTTTGCACTCACATCTGTTTTTCTGAAGGAAGGCAACCATGCAATTCACACAATTTATTTTGTGAATTACTGGACTGTTCAGTGTAAATTCTGTAATCCCCTTTGAAGATGGATTTGGTTCATTTTGGAATTAGTTTAGTAGGATCTTGGCAGTAGTAAAAGCAAGTCTGTTTATACACCACATTGGCAGTAATCCAGCTGCTACCCAGCACTGCTTGGCCTTACCATAGGCTCAGTCACTTTGTCATTATGCCTGGTAGTCTTTGAGATGGTTTCCAGTTAATGTAGTGTCTCTTTCAAAAAGCTAATCCTTAGCCATCATCAGTGCATTTGCAGTTACATGTTCCTTGGGCTGAATTGCCATGCATTTAATTTAATGTAGGATTTAAGCTACAATGAATCATGTTGTATATCAGTTCTGCATTTTCTTGTTATCTGGGGAAATCAGTTTGTGCTATCTTATCTGAAAAATCAGGCCTGAGTTTGAGATTTAAAGGAGCTCCTGGGGCAATGGGCAGAAACCATGTGGCTGGGGATACCAGAGGAGGACCATGAGAACCAATTAAGAGCTATGGCTGCAATATTTCTTGGAGCAACATGGGCAGGATTTTAATTTCATCCCAGTAATCATCATGGAAATCCAGTCCTAAGTTTCCCTGTTTAAACACACACACAAAAAATGGAAGTATGTACTTATGTCATAAAATGCTTAGAGTCTTTTGAATTTTTGGTCAGCTTTGATTCAGTCATCATCTTTGTTTGTTTGTTTTTTTATTGTCAGAGTAAAGACAAAACAGTTTTCTTTTTTGCTATTGAGGATAAATACAAGCCAATTGGATTCATCTGTGTCCCTGGGCCTGTACAGGCATTACAGTGGTCTCCACCTTCTCATGTGAGTGTTACATATTTGTTTTCTTTCCTTCACAGCAATGTTAACATATCATTTAAAAAAAATTTCCAATGAAAATAGATAAAGATGCATGATTCCAGTATTGTACTCTATAGACAATACAAATAATATTTTACTACTTTGTTCTTCATGCTGCTTCTGCATGACAGATTCTAGCTGTATCTCTGGTTCAGTCACTATGGACATATTTGCAGTTTTGGATAATGCAAACCACAAGATTTTGGTATGCTTTTTGAGCCTTTGACTTGAAGAAATGAACTTATTCCTTAGGTTTTGGAAGATCTCATTCTCTTTGACAAGTTATTTGAGCGTTACTGTCTGTGACTCTTGCCCCTATTAAAAGAGGTTTTTGGAAAGCTTTTTGACAAGATTAAGAAAGATTTTGGGTGCTTCTTGAAATTCGCATTCTGTGTTTGAAATGTGTCAGGACATACTGAAATAGTTTTTTGCTAAAATTTAAAAGTGTTCTAGGGTTAGGGTAACATGTGAAATTTTGTTTGGTCCAGTATCCTTATTTAGAGGAGAGACTATTCATTATATTTAGATGCTAGCAAGATATATTTTGCATGTGCATAGTGGCAAAGTATTGGTATTTTCACTTGTTAATTTGAACTGCTAAAAACTGGCAAAAGAAGTCTTGTTGGTATGAATTCTATCTTACTGCAGAAACAACAGATCTTGATTTGACAGTTGCATATTAAGTCCTTTCCTTGAAGACAAGGTACTCCTCCTTACTAAAAAAAGCACTCATTGTGCCTTGGATGTGTTAGATTCTGCCAGAGTAATTTTCTCTATCAGTATCTGGCCTCCACTGCTAGATGAGAACACTTGCTTAACACAATGCCAGCATCTGTCACTACTACTTTTTGTTTGTTTGTTTTAAAGAAGCATTGGTGATTAAATACATTACATTTAACGAATGCATTTTTAAACTGAGATCCTATAGACACAGGAACCATATCATTCCTATTTACGGTTTCCATACCAACTCTAATATGCCCTCTGTGCATTTTTACTGTTGGGTCAGATAAAATAAGCCTCTCTCTCTTTTCTCCAGATAGCTTATGAAAATTGAAACTAAATACAGACTTTTAAGATCTCAAAACACTGTATAATTATTACCCTCACCTCACCTGTTCTTCCTAACTTGGCATATTAAAGGACTTGTCAGGTACCAGCAAAAAACAAACAAACTGAAAGGTAAGTAGCATTTGGCAAGACTCTGAGCCAAGTCTTGATGATATAAAGGATTTACTAGTATGGAAATATATGAAATTATCAACCCAAAACCGCCTAACTCTTGGGTCAAATCCATCTTTCAATTGAACCAAATTTCCAAAATATTATCATGCTGCTTTCAAGTTAAGCAGTGTCAGAATTATATCTGGTTTGGACGCAGCAGGGATTTCTTCAATTCCTTAGCTTTGCCTAGCATTAAAGAAGCTCACTGATTTCTGATGTCCATTTAAAAGTGTCCACAGAAATAAGAACACAGGTAAGTGTGGCTGGAGTTTGGCTTTGTGTCTGTGCATCTACCTAACCAGGTTTTCTTCCCCTTTGTCTCGATTCTATTTATACATCTGCCCTATATTTGTATTCTTTGTGTTTTGATACAGGACAAGAGCACACTGCTCATCCTTTGTGAGAATGGCTTTGCTGTCCAGGTTCCTGCCCCTCTCCCTGGGAAGCAGGATACAGCGACCACCTATCACATAAAAAACCTGCCAACACAGTACTTCCACTTTTATAGCATTAAATCCCGAATTAAGGTAAAAAACTGTCCTGAGGCAGAATTTCATCTTCATTGTGCCAGGTGATCAAACTACCCTGTATTTCATCACAAGGTTTTTGCTAAGCTCCTTGAAAGAGAATACCAGGTAGAAACCATTTGTGGCTTGAAATTACAAGTTATTTTTGGTTTATTCAAACCTATATCACATTGAAGGTATGGTGTGATTTTTGATTATAATTAGAGAACAGTATTAGAGAAAGGGAAAGGTAGTATTACTGCATTAGTTCTCAAAATATTTTAATTTTGGTAATTTTCACAAAAAGAATATTTCTTGTGGTTGATGTTTGCCCTATAGGAAATTCTTTTCAACAGTTATAAAACCCCTAGGTAGTCACCTTGAAGAAAACATGAAACATACCCTTTTTTTTAAGCAGTATTTCTGACTTTTAAAAAATGTTTTAAGTTTTAAGGTGTGCATTTAATTTCTGAATGACACTTAGTACTTAAAAAAACATGTGGGGCCAGTGGAAAAGAGTTATGGCAACTCACAGCTATAGGTAGTTTTGTGAAATTGGAAAGCAAGCTGATGTTAAGCTCAGAAGGAGAACTCCAGTGGACAGGCTCTCAGTTCCATACTCGGTTTACTACTATCCAACAGCCTTTCTGGTTCTGTTGTTAACCTTCTCTGTTAACTGTTCCTGTATTACTGAATGTCAGGCAAAGCTTCATTTCATGTTATAACTTGGAGGAAGTCAGCATTCAGGAGAAAGATCTCTAGGTGTGCTTTCACAGCAGTATCTATAAGAATGATCACAAAGCATGCATATGAAAGAAAAGATTATAATAGTTGTGTGTAGAGGTTTTTTTTGCTTTCTTGTTTGTTTGTTTGTTGTTTGGTTTTGTTTTGGTTTTTTTTAGTCAAATGAGAAGAATAACGTTGAGAAACACTCTAAATTGCTAAAAATAAAAAATGTTTCTACAGAGAGAAAGAATATTAATGGCTCTCTTTTTTCTCTGGAAATAGAGCAGTAATTAATAAGTTACAACAAGGGTGTTTTAATGCAAGGAAAGATTTCTCACAGGGTAGTGAAGCACTAAAGTAGTTTTTATAGTTTGTAGAGTCCCTAGAATAGGAGATTTTTTTAAAAGGTAAATCAGACAAAGATCAGCTGATAATATTTAAGGATTTGCTGGTTTGGCTACCTAGTATGTTCTTAGGAAGCTACTGTTTTAGGGAATGTTTGATACTTGTTTATGCTACAGTAGGCTTGAATGGAAGAGAGTTTTAAAGGTTTGATAAATCTTTTCTTCATTGTTCAGAAGGAGTTAAGCTCATTACAGCTTCTCTCTTTTGCTCTATACCAATGATGCACGAGAACTTGTTTGAGTTCAGCTTTCCAGAGCTTTTCTTTCTCCAGGGAATGCAGGGGACAGGACTTAGGATTTCTGCAGGAGTAAGCATAGTGGTGAAGATTTGAAATAATCTCTCTGAGGAAATCTGATTGTAATTTGGAATTATTTCTGTTTCAAAGGACCAAAATAAATACTTCAGAGGAGGGAAATGGGGGCATTTCACTGGAGAGTCCCGTGAAGTGTGGTTGATCTCTGCTAAATTGGCAGGAAAGAGATTTCTGTAGATATTCTGTATGTATAATGCCAGGACCACCTTGGATTTAATTTATGAGACTCCTTCAGTCAGTGATGTGTGGAATGCTTTGTTTTCATGTTGCGGTGTTTTTCTGCTTGTTGTAATAGCTGGAAGAGGAGATTGTACGGAGAGAGAAAGAAAAGCAGGAGAAGGAGAAAGCAAGGCTTGAATGGATAAAGCAGCAAAAGGAGATGGGACTTGAGGTAGAAGAAACTAAAGAGGAAGAACCTGAAGAAGAGCCATTGCCACCTATCTACATACCAGAGGAGCCCAGTCCCATCCTCTGTGGCTTTTATTCATCACCAGGAAAATTTTGGCTTTCCTTGGTAAATCAGTTTTTGCTTCGTGTTGATGATGTGACATCCTTTCCCTTTGAAACCTGTCATCCCTAGGATATTGAATTCCTTTCATCCTTGACAGTTTCAGTGGTTTTTGTGAAGTAAACCAGTAGTGTCACTCCAATGCAGATTGTTTGGTAGATTTCCAGTAGGTGCCCTTCTTGGTGGTCTGTGAATGAGCACAAAGACTGAGCTGTTCCCTCACAAGCAGAAAGCAGAATTTTAACATAGTGGTAGAATGGCTTGTAATTCCAGTGATCATGACAGACTTCTGTCTGTGGATAAATAGGATCTCTAGGTGTTTGGAAGTAGCATTTTCTAACCTATCATAGATCCTTAAGAAAGGAAGAATTATTCTGAAATTTGCATTTACCTGGTCAGCTGCTTCAGTTTTCTTTTGTCACCATTTCTTTATGGTCCTTCTCTTCTTCAGGGTGGGTACGACTCAGGGTTTCTGTATCATTGTGAATTCTCACATGATGATGAAGAAGACCCTGAGAAGAGGAAAGATGAACCCTTTGATGTGATTCCTATGGAGGACACCAACGACAATCCCATTCACCAGATCTCCTTCTGGTAAAACACTGTAATGTAACAAATAGCTCTGGGATAAATCATACCTTGATGAAATTGAACTTGGAAGGGAGGAGACTATGCTCCTTGTCCCTTTTTAATTATGGCTCAATTCCAGTGTACACGAACTCTCTCTGGTTTTCCTGGCACTGAGTTTTACTTAAAATTCCTAATGGAAATAGCTGGGCCATGTCTGACAGAATAATTTAAAAAGACCTTCAAAGATTAAGAAGTTGGATTTTGAAGTAAGTACTGACTAGAACTCAACCGCCCTAGATTGTAGAACTCCAGGAGAACCCTTAAAAGTTTCTGCATATAGTGATCACCAGAACAGCAGTTCTTTATCATAGTTAACAAAGAGAATGAGAACATAGAGTGGTCAGTCCATCTCTCTAGTGCTAAAAATATAGGCTTCTCAGGATATTTTGCGAACTGTATGAATGGAAAGGCTAGATTCTTTTCAGACTCCCAGTATTAGGTCTCCTGTGAGAGTAGGCATGTTCTGCATCAAAAGGGGGCAGGTTTAATTCAGGCTTTAATCTACTGCTGGCCGCATTCACCACCATCTGTACTAAATGAGTTGCAGGGAGGAAAAAACTGCTTTTCTAGCTTTTAACTTGGTGTCTGCTACACTGGCCAGCTCAGGGCTGAGACTAGTTCTAAGCTACCTAGCAAGTGCTGAAATGTTCCTGAGCAGCCAGTTACCTGAAAAACATTTTGTAGTAGAATCACACATACTTTAAATGGTCCAAATACTTTGCTTTCAGCTTCTAAACTTGGGAAATTGATTTCTAGTAAGCCAGATTAGCCCTTTTCATATTTTGATCTTGCTTGTTAGAAGTTGCTGCTATTACTGTTTCTTGTTGTTTATTTAACAGTACCAGCAACCCTCTGATGTTCTGTGGGATGCAGGATGGCTCTCTTCGTGCTTATCCTCTCAGTGTTAAAGACCTCTCAGCAGATGTCCTGAAGGACTACTGGTACATGAATGTACATGACAATGATAATGGGCAGATCCTGGGAATCTGTTGTAGTCATGATGAGAGGTGTCTGATTACCTGTGGTGGAGATGGAAACATTTTTACATTTGACCTCTGGTCAGAGGAAGAGCTTCCCAAAGAGCTAAAAGTCATAATCCCCCCTCCTAGGGTAAGTTGGTATCCGCTTTCACTGAATTAGGCCTAGGTTGGTATGAAACTGCTCAGATGGGCAAACATGGTTCAATTTTTCTTCAAGATCTTTCATAGCAAAAGCCAAACTTTCCCAAACTATTTAGAAGAATAGCTCTTGCAAAATGTTCCTTAATAAATGGGCTCTGGGACTGCACTGTTCCTTCTCAGTGTTTTTTGTTTTTCTGCAAATAAACATAGTATGTGTTATTCATATGTAATATTCTACCAGTGCTTTCCCACTCAAAGGTATAATCATGCATCTTCCTGGAATGAAAGAATTCCAAGGATTTCTCATATCTTTCTTGGGCTTAATTCCAGTAAAGTATGATTCTGCTCTGTGCAGGGATTCTAGAAATACTATTGGAGAATACACAATATGTAGTTTCTCCATACATCTAGTAACATTCATCTAAAATTCACAATGGATTTTTTACATTTGCAAAATAGCACAACACGATGCTGATCCCATTGCTCTCTCACTCTTGGACAGCATTAGTAGTTATGAATTTACAGGTGTCCTTTACTCACTGCAGAGCTGATCATCTCTAGCATGTTAAAACAGAAGCAGTTCCAGTGATAATGCACAAGAAGAGGGATGTCAACTCCTCCACTGAAAATGTTCAGACTTTATTGAATTTTTAAAAAGTCTTAAGAGTGTCTGAATTAAATAAATATAACTTGAAAGAAGCAGTGAGAGATGTTGAGTAAACAATTTCCATTGTGCATAATAAATATTACAGTAGATATACATTCAGTACAGTTAAAAAATCTTGAAAGTGTCATCATAAAACAAATTAAAATTTTAAATATGTTTTAATACTGGTTGGTAACTACATTTTGAAGGATGCTTGGCAACAGAGACAGAGGAAATTGTGATTTTGGTCATTCAGCTAAATTGTTCCTGACTAGTTGGAATTGTTTACCAGTGTGACAAGAATATATACCACTGAGAATAGAGACAGAGATATTTTCTATAAGTGAATAATTAAAACCTTTGATATCCGAGCCTTGCTAACTCCAGTATTACAAGAAGTGATGAATATACAATTATAAAGCATATATACAGATTTATAGTTTTGAATATGTAAGTAGCTCTATATAAATATCTTTATGGTCAGTTCTATTGTTCAGGCTAACAACATTGCTCAGTGACCATTCTAATAGAGTTTTTTCCTTTTCAAAGTATATCTTCGTTAAGTATCTATTCTAGTTTTAAGTCATGTGGAAAATTTAAAAAATCTATCTTTATTAAACTTAATGAGATTCTTAGAGAATCAAATACAAATCATCTGAAACTAATCGAGTAAAATTGCAGATCAATTAAGTACAACTAGATTGTTGAGTGATAGTTCCCCCTGTTTTTTCAGAGCATGATTGCCCAGGGAAATGAGGCTTGTGCTACTGCAATGTCCATCCATCTTCACAGCTAATAACTGTGAATCTATTATGCAGTCAGCAAAAGCCAACCAGATTAATTACAGATGTGACTTGGAATTAGTCCATGACGCTCTGACTCTTGTCAATGTGGTAGTGAGGGGAGACAGAGAATTAGGCTGGGGGGTAGAGAAGGAAAGATGTTATGCGACTGAGTGAAGTTAGGACAAGAAGTGATGTAACTATTTATGCCAATGGAGAGGTTATAGGATTTGTGTTCTCTGTCCCTAAGAACTATGTTTCATAAATTCTTTTACACACAATAACATATAAACCAGCTTCATTGCTTTTCTGCTTGAAACATTACAACGTAATAGTTAAGGCTCAAATAGTAATATTGAAAATTAAGATTTCTTTTGGTTTTGTGAGAGGTGGTGGGAGCTCTATCTTAATATTTATAGAAGCTTTATTGTCTGTTGAAACTGTAACTGCTTGTTTTAAGACAAGACAATATTTTTATTTCAGAGTGGTCTGGAGAAGGAGAAGGCTGCTGAAGACATTAAGGATCCTAATGCCTACACGTAAGAGATGCTTAGATAATGATGAAAGAGATTTTCAAGTGTTGGTATCTCTTTTCTCAGCCCATGTATTTCTTTTTGCCTCCAAAGAGGAGGGATGAGTTGATAACCTGATTTTGGGTCATTTCTTTGTGAAACACACAGTTTTTTCAGCCTTTCTCTCCATTTAATCTATTTTTCTCTGGCAGTAATTCAAATATTGTACTATGAGGCAGTAAACTTCAGACTACGGAGACAACAAAAGGTCAAAGCCCCTTGATGTTAGGAGTGTACAAATATGCAGGAAGATGATTCCTTTCTAAGTTTCCATAAGAGCTATTCACTGGGAATTTAAGAATGTCAAGGAAATCTAAAAGGTTGTATAAACTGCAATATTTCCTCTCTTGCACTGAGATAACACCATTTCCTTTTTATGCATTTTCAGTATTGAGGAATACAAGCAGAAAAAGGAGTATGAATGGAAAATGAAGGAAGCTGAAGAAAAGAAAAATAAGAAAAGAAAGGAGTTAAGTGCACTGAGACAAGACTTTGTTTTTCTCCTTCAAAAGAATCAGGAGTTGCCCAAGCACATGCAGTTGCACAGAGAGGTACACCTGGCTTTTATGAGGGTCATTTACCCTTACAGGCACCTTCTTCTAAAATGTTGCTATATCATGTTGGGGCCAAAGATGTCCAATGCTTTGGATTAAGGTAGTTTTAAGAATATATAAATTGCTGGGACTTCTGAATCACATCTGATAATTTGTGCCAATTAAGAAGCACAGGAAAAAGTGTGTTCTCTGTGGAGATGGCCTCTGAAATAAAGGATATTGTTGATGTGCATACACCTATGGCACCTAGGTAAAAATATTTATTATCAAGACCTAGTAGCCAAAATAGTGTGATGTTGGGTTTTCCATCTTCCTGCAGGAGTTTGAGATGGACCATAGGATCTTTGAAGAGCTGGATAGGCAGACACTAAAGAGAATCCAGTTAGTGCAAGAGAAGCTGGCTTGGGAGCATGAGAAACAATTGATTGGATTGCAGAAACTACAAAGACAGTAATTACTACTTTTCTTCTACTTCTTTCCCTGACCTTCTATGAGGCTTATTGTCTATGAAGTTGTACCTCCCACAAGGAAAAAGAATGTGGGTTTTTTTTCTCTTTCTCATATAATCAGTATTTCATCTGTTCTGCTATGATTCTGTTCGTATTTTAATTGGAATATACACGAGAGTATATGTTCATATTTATGTGTAATTACTTCTGTTGAATCTTTGGTGAAAATTCAGATAGTCAAATGAAGGAAATTGCTTCGTTCTGATTCACTTCTATATGAAGAAAGCTGTTTGAGACTGTTTGCCTGTGGTTCTGCCAGTAAGTTCAATAAGAACCAAGAACTCTTACTGAAATGTTGAAAAACAACCTGTGAAATGAACGTCTGTTTTTAAGACATGTCGCATATCTGTCAGATATTTTAATGTCATTGCTAACACAATGTACTCTATACAATTTGAAGTAACAAAACAAACTTTCTCAAGAACATAAATTTAAGTATGTGGTGCATTTTGAGTTGGTTTTCACAGATCTAGGTAAGAGCAAGAGATGAATTAATAAAATAAAATACACAATAAAAAAAACACCTTAGGCACATAGAGTATGTCACTGGGAAAAAGGATAGAATGAGCATGTTTTAAATCAGTTACTGTCATGAAGAACTTGGTGTAAATTTCAGTATTGGGAAAGGTCTTTATGTGTTTATTCTTGAGCATCTCCATTTCTGGATTGGATAAAAGTCAATAGATAGTGTCAGATGTAATCATGATATGCAATTACTTACTGATTTGTGCATTTACATGTAATGATTGCATGTGCAATAGGTTAATTACACTATTCATGCCCTTTTGGTCAAGGCAAAATGGTATATTGTGGCCACTGACATCAGACAGTTTTTTCTAATTTGGGATTCCAGGTTTCGGGACTCTCTGGAATTCACTCTGACTGTTCATGCTATTCAAAGCAATCATCAGATTTCCACCTACAGCCTTCTAACAGTGTCTGAGAAATATGCCCAACGTAAGAAACATGGGAACAGCAAGTGGACAGTACTTAAAGAGAAGTGGACAGCACTTAAAGAGGCAGAACAAGCAGAAGAGGAAATTCCCAGTGAGACAAGCCCTGTGCATAGAGGTAATGATAACCATTTAAATCTTTCAGCAATATGGTTTCTGTCTTTCATCTCTGTTCATTTTCCTGAGTCCAAGATAAAGAAATACATGTGTAAGTGCAGGTAAAGAAAGATAGCTGTGATGTGGTTTTTTTAGTACCAACATACAAAATAACACTCATACATAGTTTTCCATGTTTAGATCAATGTCAGCAATTGTCTGTCAGCCCCATGGGTAGAATGTGACTAAAAGTCAAGTCGAAGAACCTGAATACTTTCCAAACATCCACTACAATGGAACTATCTTGATTTACATCAGCTCTACAGGAGTTGTCTGAGGGAGTTTCCAGTAGCTTGGACTGCACTGTCCTGCATGGTATTACATCTTCACGTGGTTATGTTTTGTTTCAGAAAATGTAGCTTTTGAGAATGAAGCTGAAATGCTGGAGACACCAGCGGTCCAAAAGCTAACTACACGTTACATAGAAAGCAGACGTCAGAAAATCAGAAGACTTGTTGAGAAATATGATGCACTGAAAGCCAAGATCATGAAGAGGAGGGCAGAGTGGAATGAATTGTGAGTCTTGAACTGGATTCTGTTCCCTTTAAGTTCTGCTTCTTGTCTGAGGACAAGTAATGCTATTTAGCCGTCATTTGGCAGTATAATCTCTCAGGCTAGGTTTTTATATTCCTAAGGGTTACAATTAAAACAGATGAATTTTCTTGTATCTCTAAGTCTCAAGAGAGCATTAGAATATATTTCATTTCTATGGTTCCTCTAAAATATTATCAAATTTGAATTCAGCTAGGTGGCTGAATTTTCAGATAGGGAGTAAAATGTGTCTAAATTGAGCATGACTGAAAGACACCTATGCCATTACAGTCAACTCTTAGTGAATCTTGCCAGCCCCACATGGAGCAGACACTGTAACAGCTGGGTTAGGTCAGCAGTCTTAGCATCTCAGCCATCATGTGAGTGTTTGTGATATGCCTTCATGCTCCATGCTGGTCTTTATCTTGAGAGGCAAGAAAGGGGACAGGACATCTTTCACAGAATCATAGAATATCCTGAGTTGGAAGGGACCCAAAAGGATTATCAGAGTCCAACTTCTGTCCCTGCACATGGCAATCTCTGAGTCACGCCCTGTATCTGAGAGCATGGTCCAAACACTCCTTGATGTCTGTCAGGCTGTCACCAATGCTGTGACCACTTCCCTGAGGAGCCTGTTCCAGTGCCCAACCACCCTCTGGGTGAAGAACCTTTTCCAAATATCTAACCTAAGTAATATCTTTGAATGACTTCTTTTTCAAAGCTGGGTTAGATGGGGCTTTGAGCGACCTAGTCTGGTGGAAGGTGTCCCTGTCCATGGCAGGGGCACTGGAACGAGATGATCTTTACGGTCCCTTATAACCCAAGCCATTCTGTGCTCATGGAACTACAGAAGTTCTTCCTCAGGAGATGAATGGCAGGGAATGGGACCTGTGTAGAGTCAGAGTACAAAGCTTTTAAGGTTACTGAGTATTTAACAATGTAGAGTAGGATTAGGTATTCTGTGCTACAGGCTGGTAGATTGTTGATGTGCGGCTCCCTGACATTGATAGCAGCATGTACTCACTTAACCCAGAAATTGGTCTGAATGTGAAGGTTTAAACTTTCCCATGACAAAGATATGTTTTAAGAGTTCTTAGGGCGAAAAAAATCTGGGGTTTTCATTTAAATGCGTGAGGATGTTATTTCCATTCACTTCTAAAAGCAATGTATCACTCTTTCACCTCCCAAACTTTGCTGGACAAGTTGGAGGGTAGGAAATTACTGTTTGTTCATTTGTGCGCTTTCTGTCTTGAAGTTCGGCTTCATTTTGTACCTACCAGATACAAGAGCAAACCTAGAGATATCTATGAAGATTCCAAAGATGCCGAGGAGATCAAAGAAGCACAGGAGAATATAGGATGTTACAGGTTGAAGACTGCCACTAACTACACACTCACTGAAGACGAGCGTATAAGCACTGAAAAGAAGATGATGCAACTTGCAACTCTGGAAGACTTGGTTTGTAAAACTGTATATTGCCCCATTTTTGGGGGGAAGTGAGGATATTGTATTAATCACGGAAGAAATTTTTTGAAAGGAATTCAAAGTGAGTGTGGGAATAGGCCTTGAAGGACAGACCACTGTTTTGGGTATGATTTAGTTACAAATCAGCCCTTCTCTTGTGAACTGTCTTGTGCTTCACCAAACCCAAACCTGAATCAATCCAAGGTGGCTCTTTATAAATGAGAAAGAGAATTTACCTTTACTACTACTTCAGCAGGACCACCTGTCTTTTTAAATTATAAGTTTTATAATCTAGTAAAACACGGAGCCATTAAATACCTTTACAAAAAAACAGGGATATGAGCAAGGACAAGTGTTCTAGTGTAGCCTCTCTGTATTTGCACTTGGGCAATCACTGCTCTGGAATTGGAATCTTCCTGAGAAACCAGGTCTTTTGAAGCCACCTTGCTATAGTAGGACTCCTAGTTACTACACATCTTTTAACCATGAAGACACAATAAGTTCAAATGTTGTGCAGTATCTTTGTTGCTTTCCTTGTGACTTCTTTCCTCCCATCCTTCTTATAAGAATGGTTTTTCATTGTATTTGGCTGGAGTGCAAAAGTGTGACACTGGCTAACTTTGACAGCAAGGTCTAAGCATTGCAAAACCAATGCTAGAGTCTCAGGGGATTTGTTGGATCATTTTAGTCTCATGCTTGGGCTTCATTACTTCACTGTAGTGCTGATCCTACCAGATATCCAGTGATTAACCTAACTCATTAGGACAAACAAAGGGAATAGTTCTTGTCATAAATTCTGGGTTTATATGGATGAGGAATTCCAGTTGCTTCAGGTGGGTAGTGTGTTATTTTCTTTTATAAAAATCAGAGAAATTTCTGCCAAGTGTATTAATGAGAGATTGCATTCAATTATTACTTCTCGTAAAAAGAGTCAACTAATACATTGTCCCCATATCACAGAACAATTAATAATCCTAATGTTAGCCTTCTTGAGTTGGCTAAAACTACTTCCTATGGTGGAAAATCCTACTAAAATTGCTTTTCCTTTGCAGATGCATAACATGAAAGTGAATATGAACAAAGAGATTGTGTCTTTACGGGATCTCAAGGTTTCTATTATTGATGAAATCAAGAGTTTAGTGAAGAAAGTGAAATTCATACAGGCTAGCCTAGATGTATCAGAACATCTCCCTATTCCCCTGATCCCTCAGTTACACCCAGATGAGGTTCCTGAAAAAATAGTTGAGTACAACAGTGATGTCCTTCTAAAGTTCAGAGAGGAGCAGGCGGCCAAGGCAAAGCTCAAGGAACCACTGGAAAGGTGTTCCTCATCTCGTGCATTTAGGCACGTGTTTCTTCAAACTCCTCCAGTGGAAGAGGATGACCCCGTGGCACAGGCTGGAGATGCATCAGCTGTGGTCACAGAGGAGGCTTTTGAGATGGAGAAAGCAGAGCCAACAGAAATGGAACTGGAAATTTTAAAGAGGGAGAAGATAAAAAATCTATACCTGCAGGAGACCTTGATTAAAAAGGTAGGAAATTCGAAGTTATTTTTGTCAGATTAAAAAATCCCATTGGATCAAAACCCCTTCTGTGTCAGGGTTGCAGCTAGTCTTGCCTTTTTGCAGTCCAGGAAAATGCTAACTGTTGCAGATTTGCAGTGTAAATCAGTATAAATTCGTAACTATAACCTGTGTTCTCACTATTATCACGTGAAAAACAGATTAGATTTCTTATTGATTGTGCCATAAATCTTAGAGGCCAAAGGAAAAAAAAAAAGACAAATAAAATGTTAGACATAACTTGCAAAATTACAGAGTTAAAAAAAGCAGCACCACTTCAACTTTGTAAATTCGTGTTTTCAGTTCTTAAATAACTGTAGTCTCAACTTTTTGGTCCAAAAACTACTTTGTAGGATTAGAAAAGGTACAAAAGAGAGTAACCATAATGCGTAGACATGGAAAAGATTCTTTAAAAGTGCATCTAAATGGATAAAGTGTCTTTGGCCTGCAAAAAAGGCAACTGAAATGGTTTTAGAGATGTGATAAAATTATGAATAGCATAGAAAAGGAGAGTGGGAATCATCTCTTAAAAGAAGAGATATCAAATGAAATGGTCATAGGAAGCTTGAAGCATACAAGTGAAAATAGTTTTCCTATCCAACAATAGGCTAAGCTTTGGAACTCAGCACTAGGATGTGGGGGAAGCTATAATAGTGTGATACTATGCAAAAGAAGTCCATTCAAAGCTGTTGAACACAAGCATACTGCTTCAAGATCAGGATGCCTCTAAGTCAGAGCTTAGGAGGGTACAAAGAGCAGTATACCAGAGGTTGTGCCACTCTTTACTGGTTTGTTCCATTTCTTAGTATCTCTCCTCTAATTTTTTCTACTGGGCGTTGATTCTTTGGTCTACCTCAACACAAACACCCTTGTGTTTTTGTGCATGAAGGTTTTGAGGGAATATCCAAATTCTGCTGTGAACATCACACACCTATATGTTAATGTTAGCAGCTGCTAGTACTTATTTAGCTGTAAATGGCTAAGGAAGAGCTAGCAGCTATTTCAAGAGAAGTCTGTCAAGGCAGAAGAGTTATTTATTGGTGCATCTGGGATTGTTACATAAACTACTGTAAACTACAAGACTAAAGCATTCTCTGAAGAGTAAAATACTTCAAGATTCCCGTGAAGCCCTGGTGATTCTTCTACTATTGTGCTGAGAACAAAGACACATTTGGGATTTACTTTGTCTAAGTGCATCAGTATTCTCTAGGAGATAGCATGTCTGAGTTGTTGATTTGGCAGAGAGAATTTTCCACTTCTGCTCCCTTCTCTAGCTTTGCACGTTTAACTGCACTTGTAATACTTTTCCTGTTCCTGATTTGACGCTCCTTTGCTCCAGATCAACGCACTGGTGATCAATTTCGATGCTGAACTTCGCCTTTTGCGGCACAAGAAACTGAAGATGGATGTCCAGATGAAAAGTGCTAGTCTGCGCTGCATCACATGCTGTGAAGAGCTGCTTATCCTGAAGAAACTTGAGATACATGAGGACCTTCTTGAGGAGCGAATTTGTGCCCTCATCAATGAACAGGAGGACATACAAGTAAATAGGCCACGTGTACCATTAGTTTAAATTTAACAGTACCATTAATGCATGGATTGAAACAAAAGCAAACCATAAAGTAAAGGGTGGTATCCCTTGGCTTTGTTTTTGCAGCAATCCAGTGACTAGTGCTAAATTTTGAAAAACAAGAAACTCTTGATGATCAGCCTACTAGGGTGGTCACTTCTAGCTTCTAATACTTGATTTTTAAATAACCTTAAAATTTGTATTTTAATAGATAAGTGACTAATCACATGCCTTAAGGACATGCTTCTAGGTGATGCTTGACTTGACCGTGGGTTTAATCAAGAGAGAAAAGACAAGTTTAGCATTTCCAGATCTTCACAGATGTATCCTATATACAACACACGTGTTGTACCTTTCAGCTGAAGTAGTTTTTGTTTGTTTAGTCAAAATTGAAGAGCTACCTTGCACAAATGGAGGATAGAAAGTGTGAGATTGTAATGCTTCAGGAACGTGAGAAAGCTCTTTATGCCAGCTTCGAAGCTTCCCTTGGAGAAAACAACGAATTTGCTGATTTTCTGATCAATATTTTGAAGGCAGAAGTTGAGTGTGTGGAAAGAGAAGCAGGTTAGAGATTTTGTTCTTTTTGCTCTATGGATTTGTTATACATATTTCCATGTGGTCAAGTACATGTCTCTCAGACTGGAGTACACTCCAGTCAGTTCAAAAACCTGTAGGTCAGACCTACCCAGATTTGTTAATAGACTGACAGTGTGTTCTGTGGCCATCATGTTGAATGATAACAATGATGTAATCTAGTTTCTAACATGATTGCAGTTGGTCTGATAACAGCTCCTGCAATTTACGTCCTGTAAGTCAATACTGAGGACTGATAATTGGTAAGAGGAAGAGGCACAGCTTTAAATAGGTGCTTCCTATGCTGTACCAATGGGAGCTATGGATAAGTACTAGTCTGTCACATTCGTGACATTATGCTCTGATCTGTCCATTTTCTAATGAGAGATCATAAACCTAATCTGCAATCATCTCTTAGTCACAGGACTAAACATATTACAAAAGTATTTAATTTGTCTTAGTAACTCAGTTTTAAGCTGTTAAAGCTAGGCAATCTTACTGAGCTAAAATACTTGTGCTCTCTCTGACTTTGCTTTTGATTTCAAGTGGGACATGATTAGCAAAAAGTGCAGGCAATGGTGATGCTTTTATGACAGATTTGTGCTTCTATATTCTGCTTGGTTGATTAATCTCTGTAGTAGAATGGTAAACCCATACTGTTTAAGTTTCTAACACATATAAAGAGTTTATTGAGTTTAAAGAGTTTATAAATATTGAAGTTAAGTCCCAAAAACATGGGCTGCACCTGTGCCTGTTCTACTACTAGGTGATTGATCTCTCTCTCTCTCTCTCTTTCTCCCCTCCTCTTTTTTCTTTTTTCCTTTCTGTGAAAACATCGCATCAGTTCAATGCAATAGGTACAAATTGCCTGGATTCACATATCACCAGAATGATCTTTCATGAATTACTGGGCTCGTGTTCACCAGCACATTGGCATAATGCATAGCTGGTGGGTCTGGAGTGCTTTGCAAGCTAGTGTATGTTTCTTTCAGATGAAGAAAATGAGAATGAAGAGGAGGATGATGATAAAAAGCCTGACTTAAAGACTGATGAAGAAAATTGTGGATCTGAAAATGTAGTCTTTGACTCCGTTTGCCCAGAAGGTACCTAAGCTATTATTTCCTTGGGTTCACTAGTTGTTTAGCTTTATGGGCAACATCATGTGTTTGAAAAGAAAACACAGATTTTTTAAATTATTCACTGCATAGTAAAGTCATGAAAGGCTGGAATGTATGTTCCCCTCCTGTGTACAGCGTTTTTCCCCAGGAAACTTCGGTCAAGATAATTAAACTGCGGGTACTGTAGACTACCCTAATTAAAAAAAGTTTGGAGAAAGAAAACTTATCTAAGCAGTAAGAATGAATTGTTTTGTGTAAAGAAGCATTCACCATTTCACGGTTGTTATCTGGAGAGAAAAGGCTCCTCTCTGGAGTGGAGTAGTGGCGAGGTTGTAGCTGCTCTCTGGAAACCAGCTGCCTGGCCTGGGTGGATCCTTCCCTGTTCAGGGAAGTTCTGAGGGGGATCCTCATGCTGTTAATTGAAGCTCTTTATTACCACCTCGTGGATTTATTCAGCAATTGCCTGTTGCTAGGCTGCTCTGAAAAGTTAGGGGCTTTACTTTGCAAAATCCTCTTCATTTGCACATTCAAATAAGGCAGGCAACCTCTCTCCCTCTTTTTCTTTTGTACAAGCTTCTGCTTCATTTTCAAGTTCAAACCTACCAACAATTCACCTTCATTTTTTTTGAAATTGGATTTTAAAATCATTTCCACAAATTGAATTTTTTATTAACTCCTGGTTCATCTCATTTTTCAATGGAACATTGGAACATGGAAGAAATAAAGGTTTTAACTTCTTATTTAAAAAGTCCAAATTGCTAATTGAATAGGGAAATTACATGTTGCATTAGCCTCTTCATGTTTGTCTCTTTATGTGAAATGTTCTTCTTTTTTTCCTTTATTGGGCTCTCTTTTTTATTATTATGCCTGCTGATTTGGGCATAATTGTGCACTTGTTTAGCATTACTGAAATCACAATATTAGAAATTCACAGATCTTCTTTACCATGACACAGGTTCTATGAAATAGAGCTTTGGTTACAAATAGAGCTATAAATTATCTCTACAGCAAGTTCATAATTTATAGAGAAGGCTGCTATGGAGAAACAAGTATGTGCTCACACAATTGAAGATTTTACTGCAACATGTATTAATTACTGTGACTATTGCTTACAAAACCTAATTTCGAGCACTTGCCTTTAATACTGGCTTTGATGCATTTAATCTGACTTCTGGAAACAAACTGTCTTGACTGAATATGAAGAAAAAGATACATCCAAGACGTTCACCTGGTCATAGAAGCACATGGCCCATGGGTTTATGTTTAAGCAAGCTCTAGGGAACCAAACCCGTGGTGTTATGGGGAATGCTGGAAATGTGCACAGCAGGAGAAGGTACCAGTTCTACTCAGTAACTCCAGTGCAGTCACAGTGAAAGAAAGCTCTTCTTTGACCCTTTCCCTCTCAGGCTGCAGTGAGGATCTCTTCCTGAACACTATCCAGCTCCGGCAGCAGCGAATAAGCATTGAGAAAGCTTTAGCAGAGGAGAAGAAAGTTGCTGCTGATCTCAAAAAGGAATATAATGCCTTGGCCAAAAAGGTATTGTAGTGTTTTCTCAGTAAGCATGTTAAATGTAGTGCTAGTGATTAGTGCTAGTCTCAGATTTAAAAACAAAATCCTAACCCTCTGAGAGGCCTGTTTGGGAAGAAGTATCTGTGGTAGCACAGAGGCAGGAGGCAGCTCGACATAGGTCACCTGTTCTCCTGAAAAGGATAGATCAAATTGATCCAACCTTAGCTTTCATGGGGCTGGATCCAGGCTTGAGGTCCAGTTCCTTCCCAGCTGTTTTGCCTCACCCATCAACAAGAACTAGATTCTCTGGTTTGGATGAAACACATGGTGTGGGCTGGCCTATCCTCTATGTGTGTGTATGGGAACAGAGATTGAAGAACACTTACCCTAATGTAAATCCAGGTTAAAATAAATGCTTAAAAATTCTATTCTTCCATCTATTTCTTTTGCTTTTCGTTATTTTCCTTTGCTCTTTGTCGCAGGTAATCACTGAATAAACCCTTTTGATACAATTTTTAATTTAGCTTTTTTGAACTCCTGTATTTATTAAGAAATTTTATTTGTATTAATTTTAAAATATCTTATTTTGAAGGGTTATTTGGAAGAGAGAGAGTGCTACCAGAATAACATTAAGCAAGTCTTTCACCTTTTTTGGTCTCAAAAATGTTCCATCAAGCATGCTTAACATACAACATTTTTTAGTTTTTAAAGGCTTTCCTAAGTGCCAGCTGCCACACATTCACCCTGGGGCATGTCATTTGAGTCTGAATTGTTTCTTTCTCGTGCAGAATCAATAAGCATTTCCAGGCATAACACAATAAAAATTATCTTGCAGGCTCTGTAGAGCTACAAGTGTTTTAAATGCTAAAGAAAGCAGCTGTCTCTTGATACATACAGGGCTTCTCTAAGGAGACATTAATGAGTGTATATGTGTGCAGAGGTATTCAGGTTAGAATCTTGCTTGAATATATGTATATCCTTGGGTTTGCCTATGAAATTCACCTATCATATGTAGTTTAAGAAAAGCACATTTTTATGTACTTCTTTCCCTTTGGACCAGGAATGCTAACAGAACCTTGTTGCCTTATGTATTCTAAGTGTAACAGGATTTTGTTTGTTCCACAATTTGTCTTTCTGCAGGCAAAAGAATTAGAAACCAGTCTGGACACAACGAACAGGGAGCTGGAGGCCTTTCAGTGGGAAAAGCTGCACAGACTGAATGAGCTGTATGTAGTTGTGCCTTTGAGACTCCATCAGGTAATTCAAGATGTTGTGCATCTGCACATGCAGAGTGGCCTGTGTACATCTAAACAATGGTGTTACTGTTCTTTGAGGCCCTTAATTCCTAATTCACTGTGGTCTCCTGGGAGGGAAGTGCCATTAACTGAACTTCATACTGCTATTTCCTCTAGAATTCCCTTTTTATTTTCTTTCTCCTGTACTGACAGTAATGAGGTAAGGACAGGCAGGCTGGCCCATTGCTGAAATGTGCATAGTCTTCAAGTGCTTTATAGGTTTGGCATGGTATTGGCATGACTCCTTCAGGTCCATACCTACTGATATTCTCCCAACGGACAAAAAGAAAAGAAACACCTCCCCAAGAAAACAAATCAAGAAAGCCCCAAAAACTATTGAAACTAATGGGAACTCTGCCCAACTCAATAATGCCAGAATGGATACAATGCATTCATTCACAAATTCCCTGACCCAAAAAGAGTTGTGCCCATGCTTAGTATTACCTCACTCACTAGTTCTCTATTGCTCACACATCTGATATAAAGAGACATCTCCATCACTCTTAATAAGTAAAGCCAGCCTTGCTTATTTCTGGCTGCTTTTGCAGGTGCAGTGCTTGGTTGATGGGGAGATGCCCTGTGACTTCTCCCAGACTTTAGTATTTACCAACCAGTCCTTGCAGTACCTGCAGAAGAGAATTGTGGACCTACATAATGAAAAGATAATGCAAAGAGAGATCCATAAAAAGGCCCGAGAGCAACATAAGCAGCTTCTCCAGGACAAAAAGGAGATGGAGATGGAGATTCAACGTGAGTAACAGAGACTCTGAACAACACAGCATTGCTAATGTTCCTTCTGTCCTTCTCACTGGGTGTGGGTAGCTCACCATGTCCGTCTCTATACTCATAAAGATGTCACAGAGGGTTACTGCAGAAAATAGGTCAAGTGGACTGTTCTGATGGAGTAGCAGTTCTCCAGCACTGCAGAGTCATCAGGCTGTGTGAAATAATTTGGGAGCTTAGTATAAGTAGAGCTGACTGAGATAAGACTCTGGAAGTTTGCTATTTCTACTTGTAAATCAGAACTCCTAGAAAAAAAGGAGTTTCCCCAAAGATACATAAGCTTTTTCTGGCAATTTCCTCCCCTTTGGAACATCTGAAGAAGGAAACAAGTCCTATTCAAAACACTTTCCCAAGAGCCAAACCCAAAGCTGTGTCTAGCTCCACCAGACCTGCAGAGGTCTTATTACAGCCTGTGGTGTGAGAGTGGCTTACTAGGACTGGCTTAGAGGTGGCTTAGTGACCACACAGGCATGATCATGGGCAAGGACAAATGGCATGACTCAGCTGTGAGCTCTGTGTGGTTTTCTGTGAATTATTACAGAGCAAAGACCAAAGAGCTCAGACAAAAAGCTGGGGTAAGGCAGAAATTCTTATAAACCTATGAATGACAGTGCTGCCATTTGTGCCCATGTCCCTCTCTTAGGACTGGAGGAGAGGTGCAATCATCTGATGATGGAGAAGTTTGGTCGGCTGGTTGATTTTGAAGCAGTTCAAGCCCACTCTGTTAATATACCCATGGAGCAAATGAGAGTGAGAATAATGGAGAAAGAGTATGAGCATTTTGTGGAGCTCAAAGAATGGGAGGTAAGCAGCAGGAAGAGGAGGAAGACACATGTTGTGATGATCTGTTAAGGCTTCGTTTGCCTGGGGACTGAAAAGTTACCCTAAAATCTTTTGTGAACATGCTCATGTTTGATTTTTTTCACTTGTCCTTAGAAGACCATATTGTTCAACTCCAATTTCCCATCATCAATCCTACCTCTTCTCCAGTTGCTGGTGCACATCCTATTTTGCACGGAGGTAGTTGATCTCTCTGTTTTGCTTTCCTCAAACACATTGTCCTACTTCATTCCCTATGTGAAGCTCTTGCAGAGTGCTTTTCTCTGGTTCACAGGTGGCATTCAGCACCTTCTGCCTTCCCTCACTGCCTTTGGTGACAAACTGTTTGAATACAGGGCAGGCTCTGGCTCATGCCTGGGGTGCCAATCTGTGCAGTCTGCAAAGTTCATGTCTCCATTTGGGGAGGCCTAAGGCTCAGCTGCTGTGGTGCAAGCAGGAAACATGCTTATGCTGCCCTTACAGAAGAGCACAGGAGGGTACAGAAGTACTATGTACCTAATGGATTTATTTTCCCCACACTTTTGCTAACTGCTTTACTTACTTAGGCATTTGTAATTTATATATATTAAAAACAAGAAGATGACATTGCAGTAAAGGTACTGTGGGATCAGGTGGTGTGGCAGGATCAGTCTGTTGTTTACCTGTGACATTTACATTGTGCCTAGCACTTCTTCCCCACTGCACTCTTTTTGTCCTCTCTCATCCCAGATCAACTTTTTACAACTTTCTAGGAAAGAACTGTAGGCCTGCAGCATCAGCTAACAACACTGACAAGGGAAAACACCAGCAAGCTGCACCAGCTGAACAGGTTTTGCTATGAAAAACATCAGCTTGAAACTGAGCTGGAATCACTGACAACTGGTCAGGTGAGCCTTTTAGCCACTGCAGTGCTTGGGACTGTTCAGAAATGGGTAAGGGGTCATTTGTCCCTCACCAGCTCCTTGGTCTCAAATCCTATTCTGCAGTCAGCAATTTGCATTAAGAGTGGGACAGGCTGAATGGCTGCTCCATAGGTTAGCATCTCTGCAATTTCTTACTCAGCTGCTTTTTAAGACTGAAACAAACTCATTTTTAATTAAAATATGCCTTGAAGGAATTAAAATAATATTCCTTTGTTACATGGAAACAGTCATATTACAGTCATGTAACAGCATTACAATAAGAAGTGGATTTATTGCTCTGTACCAGGACGTAAGTCTAAGTTAGTGAACTTTCACTCTTTCACATAGTTCTGACTAAGGTGTGAAGTCATGGATATATCCTGGTACTTGGAAAGCCTCACTTTCCCTGCTTGAAATAAATTTCCACTGTTCATTCTCCGTGTTTTATAGGAGCTATTTTTTTCTTCTCCATTTTTTTCCTCTACAGGGTGGAGAATTTGAGGGCACACAAAGTAGTGACATCAAAGAGACAGCCAGGCTGGAGTCACGGCTCATGCACATGACTTATGAGGTGGCCCTTCTGAGAAAGGAAATCAACCATGGCAGAATTGATGGCATGTAGAACTTGCTTTCCTTAGCAGAAAAGGTGGGTGCCTCTTTCTACCACAGGACACTGAGACTCCAACTCCCTCTTCAGAAATAGTAACTAGCAATCCACGTCACCCTTAAAATTAACTGTGGCAGCAGTCATGCCTCAAAGTGCAAAATTAATTGTTTTGGCTAGCCAGGGGTTTAGTTGTCAAGGGTTATATTTTTTTCTATCAAAATATGATTGTAACAACATAAAATAGCAAATAAAACTACTAAATACTGTTACCAGTCCATTGCAGAGGGTTGCACTGGACAAGGTGCCCTGTGTGTACATTATGTCTGTGTCTACTCATCAAACAAGAGGCTGTGGAAAGCTGGTTTGAAGTTTCACAGGGGCAAACATTGGTTTAAAACCTTGTTCTCAAAAATGCTAAGTCTGCCTCAAGTGAGCATTTGTTACTGTTGAGCAGCAGTGGCCCTACTCTACTAACTGAGCTAGTTAGAGTCAAGAGACTTGCTACTGGCCAGGAAAAAGCAAAGGGGTCTTTCTCCTCAGGGCAGGACTTGGCATTTACCTGGCAGGAGGAGGTTGTAACAATGCAAAGTCAGCCTGTAATTCCACTGTTTTGCACCTGCCTCATCAGTGAGAGGACCAAGCTCTGTGTGTTTTCATGTGTTGCTCTTTTTTGCCTCTCATTTGGTGTGGTGGCAGTATGTGATCATTTAACAGCACTCACCCTGTGTGACTGTGAAACCTTCCTTCATCCCCAGGGTGGAGGGGTTGTATTCTTCCCATGCAAGGCTCCTGAGGTCCTAATTTTTAATTGAATAAACTAAACAACCTCCAGCTGCCCTTGCTGTTCCTCCTCCCCACTTCCTACCTCTTGCCACAGATCTTTGTGCCTCTGTCTGATGGATGCTCAGCAGGGTTCCAGCCATATCCCAGCCAGGCACAAGAACTTCCTGCTGGTCCCAGCTCAAGCCTGTGAACGGTGCTTGTGCAGCCTGCCTGCCTTTACAGGGGGTCCCTGCTGAGGAACACAGCTGGTGCTGGGAACTCTTGTGCAGCTGCAGGTTGTGCCCTGGGAGGTGGGAAATGGCTGGAGTCTCAGGCAAGGGGCTGTCTGGCACCAAGCCCTTGCCTAACAAAGAGTAAGGACATCCAGTGCCAGCTGGGTAACCAGATACCCAGAGACTCAGCTGGAGACAGGGAACAAGAAAACCCCAGACTAAGTATCACCAGTGACTATTTGGAAAACTCTAACTGCAGGAAAATGTCACCTTTCCCCAGGTGTCCTGCTTGCTCTGTGTCTGCAAGCGAAAAATAAAGAAAAGGCTCATTCTGTGTGACGAATCATCATAGATTAGACAAAAGACAGCAAAGACTAAAGCCTTTATTTTTGATGTTAAAGCGTGGATTTGTCCTTACAGATAGGTGGCTGCAGATGACATGTATGTGAAAGGCTGTTTAAATTGATCAGGCAGAGTACATAACTCCAGTCCATTCACAGGAGTGTGTTCCTGGAACAAACCTTCCTTGGGGCAGAGGAAGACCTTTTTGACAGCATTATTTGTTGTGAAGCCCTCACTGCACGAGGGTGCTGGCTCTTGGTGGTGGCAGCTCTCTTAAGACCCATGTCCCACAGTGTCCTTTGTCCAGCTGATGCCATTGGGTGCTGCTGCCTTGTTTCCTAGGGCCTCCTGTGACCTTGCTGAGGATGCTTTCTGTCTCCATAGCATTATAAAAGGCACATATACATCTATATACAAGTGCATAAATATATAAATAGGGGTGTTATACAAAAATAAATACCCTTTCACTTTTTCTCTTTAGAATAGTCTTTTGCAAAAGGCAGCTTGGTCCCTAGCTGGTAGGAAGATGAGTCTCTAAGGGTCTCAGTGGTGGAGTGCTGCTGTTCAGATGTCTTGGTAGGTCCTGACCCAAAGATGTGATCACTGGATTCTGGGCATGGAGATCTCCTCTGGACTGGCAGCAATCTAGTCTTTCTACCTCTTCAACTGGCACTAGGCCTAAGCAGCAAGGGCTTCCTGAGGGGGAAAGGAACAAGAAGTTATTATAAAGCACACTGGAATGAGAGATGCTGTGGGAGGTTTCAAGTCAACAACTCACTTTAGGAAGAGGGTTACTCTGATCAAAGAGGAAGATCTGCATTCTGAAAGTCTGTCTGGGAATTTGATGCCATGATCACACAAAACAAGTTTGATCTGCACTACAGGGGTGGATCAGTGGATTAGGTCCTAGGGAGCTGGATTCACATCACTTGAACATGAGCCATCAGAAAGGCTCTCCAGTGAGATTTCCCTTCAAGAGCAGCCTATCACGATGAGATGAAGGAGGCATGGAGTTTTCCAAACCACTGACCTTGGTGGAAGAGGGTATCTCGTCGAGCATCTAGGCTAGGGCCTCCCACTTTGCTTCCCATCACTGGATGATGGAGGCCAAAAAAGTGCTCTTGAAGGTGAGGACAGTCATCTTGTGGCTGAAGAAGCTGGTGAGTGGAGTCATCTGGGAGACTGTAGAGGAAAGAGCTGTCTTCTGTTCTGGAGCTGGGCAATCTGGGGAAGCAGGCAAAGAGGTTTAGTGCTGTTTACAGATCTGTCCTCCTTGAAAAATGTAACTTGTGCCATGTCTCAGACAGCTCATCAATGCTGTGACACACAACATTTCTAAATGAGGGGAAGAGCAGAAATTGGGATGTACTTGTGGGATGGGAAGGAGGTGATGTGGGACCTGGTATCCATGATGACAGCTGGTGAGTGCCACAGGAGCTGGAAGGAATAGTGCACAGGGAGCATGGTAATGAAGATGTCTGAACAGTGAGACACAAAGCACTCACAACTGGACACCAGGCAGATTCTGGGGCAACTGTTTATCAGCATCAATCAGATCTTTGCTTCTTTCATCCTGCTTTTCAGTCTCCCACTTGGAAACAGGAGGAGGAAAAGGGGACAGAAGGGAGTAGGTCTTGGCCACCTCTACAATTAAATTACATTCCTTCCTGAAATCCTAAGATTGTGCAAAGAGAATTTAGATCAAGGTGTCCTAGCGCTGGAGCATGGATTTGTTTACCAAGAGTTGCAACAGATAGGAGTGTACTGAGGGCAGGCTTTTGTGAGCATGTAGTCCTGTGGGTCCCAGTGGATTGTTCCACCCTCCCTCTCCACAAGCCAGGACTAACCTGGAGGGCTGGTAGTCTTGCTGGGCACTCCCATTCTGCAGCACTCTTGCCTGCAGCAAGGCATTGGTCTCCTCATGTGACTGGACGGAGAGAGAAGGATTCTTAGCAGAGCAATGGCACACAGCAGCATTAAAAGGCAGGTGCTGAGTCAGAGCCCTGGGACAGACTGCTGAAGCTCTTACAGCAGTAGGCAGAAAAAGCTGAAACTGTTTCTTTTGCAAATGAGGGCAGTGGAACTGAGCACTGAAAAACTCACTTTACGCTTGCTGCTCAATCAGTAGAGATAAGCAATTTATAGTCTCAGCTCTGGCACTGCCTGTTACCCTTTTACAGACAGAGTCCTCACTACTGTCAGTCTCTGTGAGCTTTGCTCAGAAGACACAGGAGCTGTTCCCATAGGAGTCACCTTTTCTCACTACCTCCTCCATACTTAAGAGTCACTGGCCCAACCAACCACCCCTTCACCAGTGTTTTGGAGACCATCCTGTTCGTCCCATGTCTCAGACTTCACTACAAAGGGGAATCTCTTCTGGGAAGCCAGCCTTGCCACTTCTACATGCTGCAAAGTGCACCAGTCACGCCTGGAGAAGCCCACTCATTTCAAGTGTGGCCTCCAGCTCATGACAAACCAGCTCTTGATCCCAGGTGTTGACTCACCTGCGGCATTTCATCAGGGCTGTAATCTCGGGGCTTGGTGCTTGTGTACCCCACTCCTGCAGAGGTGCAGATGCCATTCAGATGTGCCCTGCTGGCATAGGGCTGCCCATTAACAAAGGGATGTCCATTGGCACGAGGAGCAGAGATGCCTCTCAAAGGCACCATGGTGTACTGGCAGGACGACACCAGCAGTCCAGCTCCTGGGAAGCTCATGTCAATGGTTTGCTCTGCAGAGGGAAGGAAAAGAAAGTCTGAGGCAAAAATGAGAGGTAAAGTCAAGCTTGTTGAAGCTCAGGATATATAAGGTTGGGCTGTCCTATCAGCTATTTTGGCACCCAGAGCACTCTTGGAGATAAATGGTGGAAAGAGGCCCTTTGCTCTCAGTCCCAGAGGTTCCTTTGCAACACAGCAAGCAGGACGAGGGACAAAGAGTGGTCTTTGTCTTTATGGGGTTCCACAGCACATCTAGGACTTGTCCTCTTACCACCCCTTCCCTACTTCCCAGAATTCCCTCACATTTTGGGTGTTGATGCAACAAATTTGGGTCAGATTTAATCCTCATGCAAACCATACCCTGTAAATCAGCCCCCAAGAAACAACTCTTACTCTGCTTGGACCAAGCTCTCCAAAGGCAAAAGGGGATGAAAGCCACGATGAGAAGTACGATGGAGCCCAGCACAACACCTACAATCAAGTATGGCAAATCGCTGGAACGGGCCACCATGGCTCCTGTCCCCAGGCCACTGTGCCCACTGCCGAGTGGGGGACGCTGCTGAGGGGGCACTGTGGAAGGTGGAAGACGACTTGGCAGACCAAGAGACTTCCGAGCTGTGGAAGGAAGAGAGAACGTTAGACAGAGACATGACAGGTGGCACAGCAGCCTAGTCCTGGGATGTTTATAGTGCTGTGGAGTGGCCAGACTTCTATGGTGGCTTTGAAGAAGCATTCCTGGATGACAAGATTCCTAGGCATATGGAAGGAGAGACAGCTCTGCCACATCTGCTCGTGGACTGCTCAACCAAAAGCAAATCCAAAATAGCTTCTCCAAAGCACACACTTGGACTTAATGCTGCTCCTGTCATGACAGTGCAGCGGCTTTGAAGACAACATGGGGCCTGCTTCTAACACAACACAGAGTTCATCACAGCAAGGGGAAGTCAGCCCTTCTGTTTCCAGTCACCACTATGTGACAGTTAGGAAAACAAAAGATAACTGCTGCTCTATGGGACAGCAATGGACTCTGCACAAGGGGTGAGCAGAGACTGGTCACACTGATCAACAGCATGGATGAGCCTGTGTCTCTCTTCTCTTCAGTGCTGCCTCCACCACTTTGCTGGAGCTTGGGTGATGCACTGTCAGGCAGGGATAGTTCCTGTCCTCTTTGCTGTGACAGCTGTAGGCAGAGAAGGCAGCAGGCTGTGCTCCCACAGCTTCCCTGGCAAGCCGCTTACCTTTGGTTTCACAGATCATCACATTGCTGAACTCGCTTTCACCTCCCTCATTGAAGCACTGCATCTTAATGTCATACGAGGTCTCTGGCTGCAGGTGGCTGATGGAGTGCCAGTACCGATCTCCTGAGGAAGGAACAAAGAGCACATGGAACTCTTAACTTCCTCAGGTAACAGGCAGCTGATCCAGCTCTGCAGCAGTGCCCAGTTAAGTAGCCTGCACAGCTGCTGCCTTTTGTGCACAGGGCTCCTTTTGGCTGTACTGTCTTCCAGTAGGAACCAGCAGCTAGGAACAGTCTCTCAATTTCTCCTACCTTCCACTACATCCTTCTTGTAGTCACTGTCATTGTCACTGTCAGTGGGGCGGTAGTAGATGTAAAATCCATGGATGGGAGTGTTGTTGTTGCTGGCTGGGATGTACTGCAGAGAATGGGAGGGAGAGCAGAAATTAACAGCTATGTCCATGGTCACATGGTGCAGCTGGGATAAATGGAATAGGACAGGAAGATAACCAAGCAGAGGGATCTTCCTCATGTTAACCTGGTTTGCACAATGAGGGCATTTCTACAAAAGCACAGTGCTACTCTCTACTCTCAAGCTTTGCTTCTCTCAGGTAACAGAAAAGCAGTGAATCTGGGCCTGTCACTCCGGGCATCCAGTGCTCTGCTCCCTCTCAGCAACCACAGCCAATGAGTCAGAGAAAAAAAATTCCTGAACAACAGTGACTCAACTGGGCATGGGCAAGCACACCATCATCTTGACATAGTAGGCTCAAGGCTTCCAGACAAACTGGGTCTTGCCATGAACTGGTCACTGCAGGAGCTTTGTGTTTCTAAAGACAGCTCTCTTCCTCCCCCACACCCAGGGCAGTACTGTCCCAGCGCCATGTGTTCTTGCTGTCTTTCACCCAGGATTTTATCAGCTACGGTTTGAGTTAAAGTGAACAGCTGTGCCCATCCTGCCTTGTGCCAATTTCTGGCTAGAAGGAGCTAGGAGAGGAGAGCATCCCTCCGAATAAGCTCTAAGCTGCTGAAAACACTTGGGTCTGGGCTTGTGATCCAAAAGATCCTAAAAATCCTCTGGAGTGGACTACTGTAAATGATTATCAGCATTTAGGACTGTTACCCAGCAAATGAGAGTGAAGGACATATCTGCTGGAAAATACTAGGACAGAGGGAGGTGCTAATGGATTCCAGGAATTTGGCCAGGAGAGCAAGCAGCCACCCACCCCATGCATTGTTGAACTGTGTTTTATCAAGCAAAATGGTCAAACCCTGAGGTTATCCACTGAAATCTTCCTGTATACAATGCTGGATTCAGATGGAAAGCGTTTCCTAGGCTCTCTGACTTCTTGCCCTTCTGTGTCTCCCAAGCTCAGTCCTCTTTTGGTGGAGGTGGCTATTGGATCCCAGATCCATTTGTGCTGGTGACAGGCTCAAGTATGGTAACCTGGAGGAGGTGTAAGCTGGGCAAGGAGCACCCTCACACCTCCTCCCCTGCAGCACTCTCCACCCCCTCAAATCTTACCATCCACTTGAGCATGATGGTGGTCTCGTTGATGGCGTCCGTGAAGGTGATGTAGGGCCCAGCCACGGGGCGCTCGTAGACGCGGTTGCTGTAGCCAGACACCACGTATGGCCGAGATGCCGCACTGGGCTCGCTCTCGCCCAGGATGTTCAGCGCCCGGACACGGAATTTATAGGATGTGCCTATAGGGAAAATGGAAAATAAAACAGTTACAGGGATTGGAGTTGTCCAAGATTTCTACTGTCAGCATGGCCCTGACTGTGAAGAGGAGCTACATCTTCAGAAGGCAGAGAGGCTACTGCAAGTTTGTTGTAGAAGTACAGACACTGAACGGCCACGTTTCAGCCATGTCCTAGATGGAGCCTGCTTTTATTTCCCTTCCCCAGTTCCTGTGTGGATGGTCCAAAGGGCAGATAGCAGTTTTGGAAGGTCTGCAGAGGAAATTAAGAAATGCCTGAAAGGATATCCTGACCTGAAAGCAGGTATGGAATTAAGATATAAACATCAGATCAAAGCCTACATAAGTTTTACCCAAACTTCATTTTAGTGGTCTTTAGTTTGGGGTAGTTATGTTCCCTTTTTTTCCACTGTCCAGCTCAGTGATGAAATCTTTTCTCATAGAAGTGCAATGGGATTTGTGAACCCATCTGGCTTGCCTGTGGCTAAGGAAAGTTTTGTCCTGTCTTGTAAAAGGCAAAACCAATTGCCTTTAGTAAATGTATCCCGTAATACAGAAAAGCATGCCTAAGCCTCCCTGAGGGAGGTCAAACCTATGCTGGTCTCTGCAGCTGGAGAAATTGGAGAAGAATTTGCAGCTTTTTCCCAATGCACCTAAGGCAGGAGTCAGGAAAGCTTTGTTTTGCTCACGCATGCCAGGGCTGAGCAGGATGTGACAGATGGTTAACCATCCTACAGGGACCCTGCAGCTTTGCTTCAGACCTCCAGGAAGCAGGGAGGAGAGCACCTGCCTACCTTTCTCCAGGTCTGGGATTTCCACAGAGAGGCGAGAGGGAGGAATGTCACTGGTGGCCAGGACCCAGTCTCCCAACTTCTTCAGTTTCTTATACTCCACGCGGAAAGACTGAATGGGGAACCCGCCATTCCCACGGGGGATCCAGGTCACGTACACAGATGTCTCTGAGGCCATGGAGATGGTTGGACGGTCTGGTGCCTCTGGAGCTGCAAGGGACCCAGAAGGACATCAGGATGTGAAATATATTCTTCTCACCCTGTTTGGAGGATCCTGTAGCTCAGAAGTATGTGGGTGAAGGACTACCTGCATTGCACCCAGCCACATGCTCTGCAACTCCTGAATGCTCTCCTCCTTCTGTCTCTTCATTAGAGCTGGCACCCCCAAATCCTCATGCCTTTCAGTTTGTGCCTACAAGCAGCTTTTACTTCTGCTTGCATCTTGCTCCTTTTCCACTCCCAGCTCAAGTAGGATGAGACAAGGGTTGAGGTGTGATCACCCATCATGGAAGGGAAAGCAGTGACAGGGGGTGGATGCAGGGCTGGAGATGGAGCAAAAAGCCTGGGTGATGCAGAAGCAGTGAGCAGGGGGGAGACTGATGCTGGGGACAACCAAGTGTAGAAGATGGAAACAGGACAGATTGAGAAGAAACTAAGGGAAAGTTCTGAACTGTGGAAATGCAATTTGACAGGAAAACAATCAAAAGATGGGAGGGAAAGAGATGAATGGAGCTATGAATATGAAAATAAAGACAATGAATGAGTATGGGGGAGACTGAAGGATGGGACTTCACAGGAGGATTAGGATTGAAGGAGAGAATTTCACAGAAATGATAAAGGCAATAGTAATGATAGAGACAAGGCAGGAAACAACAAATTAGAATGACCAGTAAGGATCTGACATTTCTCCAGTGCAGCAAGATATCCAAATGGAGCACTCTGCACCCCTAGAATGGGAATTAATTGCCCCTAGCCAGGGCTTGGCTGAGAGAGGAGGATGCCAGGATATGCAGTGACCTGGTCCCCGTTCCTCCTTTACACTCCATCAGCACCCACTGGTGCAGTGCAGTTTGTTGTTCCTGTACCCCACAGTCACAGATTCCAGGACAGGGCTTTCTGAACCCTCCATGCAGAACTCAGCAAGAGACAAGAGTTGCTAAGATGTCCTTGCATAAAAAGTGGAGCCAGGCAGTGGGATTTGCCTGACCTACAGGACTGACTGTCTGCCAAAGGCAATAGCAGGGGTGTCCAAGAAGGACCTCTGCTTGTCAGGAGCCAGAAATCACCCATCCAGCACTGCAGTCTTGATTTACCCATCAGAGACTTCATCTCCAGCATGGCCTGGCCACTGCCACCCACAAGAGACCCAGCAGCCCTCACCCTTCCCATTGCCAGTTCAGGGAGGGCCTTACGGGACAGACGGCTGTTGTCGGCCTGGTTACTGCTCTGAGTGCTCGTGCCTGGGTCATCCCTCTGGATCTGCTGCTCTTTGCTGGCAACAATCTCTGGTTTTGGGCGTCGGCCTGTGCAGAAGGGAAAGGTGGCATCAGTAACAGAGAGACGGGATCAGAATTAACTTTTGCTGTGATGAGTAAAGCAAATATTCCCAAACAGGATGTGAGATAAGTATTTCCTGTACTCTAACAGCCCTAGGGGCTCAAAGCATTCAGCTTGCTGGCAGGAACTAAAGCTAAAGAGGCAGATTTGTTAACAGATCCCACTCGTATTTAATTTTCTACAACTTTTAATTGGTTTTCTTGAAATGTTGCTAGATTTCTGTCTCTAGGCAGAGGATGGATTAAACAACCTCTTGACATTGATGCTAGACCCATTTTCTTCAGTTCTGTAGGTGTTCAACTAAGACACCAAGGGAAGAAGGGACTTACTCCAACCCACACAGAGGATGGGTTGGAATCTTCCCCATCCTACCTTCCACTTTCCCTTCTGACATTTGCTGTAAGCTGAGGGCAGATGGGTTTCCAGAGCAGAAACATTCCCATTGGACTAAGGCTGGTTCCTTTTGACTCAGGGCTGGGACAGGATGTTTCAGAGGGGCCCTGCCTTGACTCAGAGCAAAGGGAAACCCAGGGAAAGGTGTGCCCTTTACCAGTGCGGAAGGTCACCATGGCCGTCTGTCCCTCGCCGGCACAGTTGTGAGCAGCCATCTCCACCTCATAGAGGCTCCCAGGGTCCAGCCTGGTGAGGGTCAGGCGGTGCTGCGAGGCTGGGACATCCCTCACAGCCCAGCTGTCTGAGGCGTTGGTGACCTGCTGAGAGACCAATGCAGGGGTTGCAGAGCTTGGGGCAGGCTGGGCTTCTTGTGGGCACTGAGCTCAGAAACTTTATTAGGAAGTTGTGTACCAACCAGATCTACCTTCTCTTCCCTCTTTGCAAAGAAGGGGGATGTTTCCAGCCTGATTTTGCAAAGCAATTCAAGTATAAGCAGGACAACTCACCCAAGCCCCAGAGTGTTTTCCTGACCCCAGGGTTCAGTCACCCCTGTTCTGTTCTCTGGTTCCCTTTGATACCATCTCCCCCTCAATGTGTGTAAATCTTCCAAGTGGGTGTGCCCCACAAAATGCAGCATTAGCCACAGGACTGAGCTGCTTTAGGAGCCAAATTGCTCCTGCAGCCCAGTTGCAGAGTTGCTCATTTAGATACTGGCCATTTCCATGGGCTGAGGTACCCAGACACAACTTTGTTTTACTGAATCTTATCCAGCTTCACCCCTGGCACTTTGGGGAGGAAATGAAGAACCATAATGCTGGAGCAAAGGTTTCTTCAAGGAAGAAACTCTGTATGGCCACAGCCCTCAGAAAAGCTTGGAAACACAGTTTGTTTTTTGATGATACCCGGATGCCCCATGCAGAGAGAGAGAGGGAAGGTAGAACCTTTCTCCGTCTCCCCAGCTGCAAAGATAATATTTTTGCAGGCAAATAGGCAGGACACTGAAGTGACCAGGTGCTGAAAGGAGCATTCGTAATGCAGGCAACGCAACAGAACGGAAATGCCAAGACTCTGCTGTATCATTCCTCTTCTCCAAGTGTTTGACATTGACTGATTAATGCCTGCCTCGTTTTATTTTTATTCCTGAGCCTGCAAAGTTGTGAGGCCAGGGAGGGGAGCCCTAAAGGCTGCTTTTATCCAGGAAAGGAAAAGAGAAATTCTTAAGAAACAAAAATAAGGGCTGCATGGCATCTGACTGCTTGCAGAGTTTAGGGGCAGTGTAGGAACAGCATAAAAAGACATTCACAGATGTTTTCTAGAGAAGAAGCAGAACCTTGCCCAGTACAAATGTAGGTCTCCTGTCTAACTTTCCTTACAGCCATCTTCTACACAAAGACCCTTTTCTTTTGTTGCTGAATTGATTCCTTCCCTTTCCACACACATGCTTTTCCAGTCAGAAATGTCAAAACCAGATCATTACATAACTTGATCCTAAGGATCTTGGACAGAAAGAGAGTCTTTCTAAACAAGTTTAAGGGTTATTGGGACTAATTCCTTTCCACACAATCCTTAAGCATCCCAAGAAAGAGTCTCCAGCTGAGAATTTGGACTACACTGAAAACATATTACTGCACCTTCACTCCCCCATGGCCCCTTCCAGGTGAAGCGCTGAAAAACAAATCAAATATGGACAAACTCCAAGGCTGCAAGTTAAGATCGCAAGCAGAATTGGTAGTTACATGATACACCACTGGGGAATAAATCTCTTCTTGGCAGACAACCAGAGCCAATAGTCTGGGGATGATTTTGGCATCCTTGTTTGGTATTTAAGCTTGCCCTATTGTGTTCCTGTGCTAGCATCTTCTGCCTTTGTTTTAAAGGGCTCTTTAAAAAGATGGTTAGCTGAAATCCTCATCTTAAATTTTTTTTAGAAAGAAATCAAGGAATGTGAGAGGCTTCTATTCTACTGTATTTTCACAAAAGCACACAATTCCAGGAAAATAGATATATATATTTACATGTACTTGAAAACGGTGCATTGCAGTGGCTGGAAATCCCAAACGTGTGATCTGGCATGTTTTTGGAATATACTCAAGCCCTCTGGGGTTTGAGGCAAAACCTGCCTCTCTACTGCAACTCCCTACCTTCCCAAAGGAAAGAAAAGCAACAGACAAATAAATTCAAGCTCCTTTTTTCCACTTATCCTTACCAAAATGGAAAGAGATACTTTAGACCTCAAAAGCAGAATTTTTGCCTCAACAAGGCTTCACCATTTAAAGAAACTGCCGGGCTACAGCAGTATACCACAGTATGCCTGTGGTGCTGTGAAGCACCCCAGAGGGAGGAGCCCTTGGGCTCCAGCAGGACTTGGCTGTGCACAGTGTGCTCACACTGTGCCACCTACAAGCGATGCACTGCACTGTGCACTGCCTTCCAGAATAAAACTGGGGGATAAGGACCTTCCCAGAGGATTTATGATGTCTATGACAGCTCTCTGCTGGCTCCTCACACTCACTGCACATGGGCATTTTGGTGCTGCCAAGCAGGGCAGGCACATGCAGCAGAAGCTGCTGCTCTGTGTCCTGCAGCCCAAGCCATTCAAGGCAGAGGTGTCCCCGTGACTTGTGCCAAGACAAAAGCATTCCAGAGCAAGTCATTGTGCAACCCGCCCTCAGGGATTCCTACCTGTGCAAGCACACAACTGGGTATTGGACACGGAAGCTACTGGAGAAGTATGTGCATGTGCCTTCTGCATACTTAGGCAGACAGGCACTGCGACTGGGCTCTTCCTGGACAGCTCAGGAAATCTCCTGTCACAGCCTGTATCCATCACATCTCAACGGGCTGAGGCTGCAGCTCAGGAGGTCCCACTAACCAGTGCCACCAGTGAGCGATGGGTGTCCTGCCCCAATGTGCCTGCTCATGAGGTGTGAAACGTGTGGTGAGGCCCCCCAGCCTTCCCATGGAATGGTGCAGAGGGAAGGGGGGAGCAGGGCAAAACAGCGATACCTTGCGATGCTTCACCATGTAGTAGAGGATGGGGGCTCTGCTGTCAGGCCGGGGTCGCCACACCAGGTCGTAGCTGTCCGTCTTGGATGTCCGTGGAGAACTGAGAATGATGGGGGCTTCAGCTGGAGTCACCAGCTCCTTGTTGGCTACACACTGTGGAGATGCTGACAGAGGGCTTGTCCCAGGCTTTGGCAGTCCAGCTTTATCCGAGGGCAGCTTGAAGCCACTGTCTCTGGAAGGTGGTGTTGGAGGCTGAGCCGAGTACAGCTGGGCATCTTGCCCAGGGTTGAGTGGAGCTCCTGGAAGACAAGGTGTCACAGCAGCGTAAATGCCCATCCCAGTCTGTGGTTAAGGCAGAGATGTAAGCCCCTTGTGTGCTGCTGCCTGCTGTGCCACTCAAAAAGGTGTTGGCAACAATTCCTCTTTCCCCTGCTATAAACGACAGGGTTCCCTGTCTCTCTGAAGTCCCTCTTACCCTGTGTAAGTTCAACACAATCCAAGGAGATCAGGTGGTACCTCTCTTACCCAAGGTGAATTCAGTTTTTAAGCTCTTGCTCAGTGCAAATCCAGAGGAAGAGCTAAGCCATGGGATGTGGCACTACACCCAGATGTCTTGTGTCTCTCATGTAGAGATTGCCCAAATGTGCTGCACACCCTTAGAAACCCAAATGGCCCTGCCCTTAGAAGCAAAACTGGTGTTGTGTGTTCCCACAGGGAGATATGGAGACCTTGGGTAGAACAGCACTTGCAGTGTAGGTTAAATAGGCAGCAGGGGAAACACACCGACTTTCTTCCCCTGCTTCCCCTGTCCTTGTCCTGTGTGTTAGGCTGTGACTGAATGGCCTCAACTTTGGAAAGAGGGGCTTACCCGGGCGGGCTGTCCTCAGCTGCACCATGGCTTGGGCACTGCCCACCTCGTTCTCAGCCATGCACTGGTAGATGCCCTCGTCCTCAGGCCCCACGCTGAGCAGGCGCAGCGCTCGGCGTGACAGCCGCAGCCGGTGGCTGCCCAGCAGCGGCACCGCGTTACGCAGCCACATCACCGAGGGCTGCGGGTTCCCTCGCACCCTGCATGTGAACTTGGCACTCTGGCCCCAAGGAATGATCTGCTGGGACAGCTCCATGGTGACCTCCGGGGGTTCTGTAAGAGGAAAAAACACAGACTGCTGAGTGCCACTTGGCTGGGAGCATGCCATGGTCATGGCTTTTCACCTTCCTCTCTGGCAGGGATAAGAGCAGAGTGATGGATCCTTTCCTACCCTCAAGTCCCACTCCCTTTGTGGGGGTCCACAGGGGGTCCAATACCCGTCCCCTTCAGCATCCACATAAACTGCAAAGGGAGGTAGCCCAAAGTCATCTGCTGTCTCATATGATATCAGACATCTACAAGTCCCATTTTTCTGACCTGAAATGCTACTCTGCGAATATTGTGCTTGTGTCACAACAACACACTGGCATCTGATGAGCAATCTGTGAAACACCCCTAAAAATTGTGAGAATGAGAAGTATGCATGGTAGAAATATCTAAGGTGTAGTATCCCTTACATTTTCTACTCCAAAGAGAGCTTCCCTACAAAACAGAACAAAACCAAGACACTCCAATGTCTTCCTTATGCCAATTGTCAAATATGTCTAAAAAGCAACCAGGCTTCCACTAGAAAGTAGGAGAACAAAAGCAGTGCCACAAATGACAGGAGAAGAGCTTCTGCAAAGGAAGGGAGGATCCATCATCTCCAGCCCATGGTGGGAGCCAAGAAGGAAAGACTACTACCCTCAAGAAAGAATTAGTCTGGCCTCCGGGAAACTCGAACCACAAGCAGGGATTTACATTACATTGCGGTTTGTCCAGGGTCGGGGAAAGAGTGCTTCCGTGCTAGTACCTTCCCCCAGAAGAAGATGAGATGTCCAAGCCCTTCCTGAAACAATGGCTCCAGCAGCACTCACCAAACACCTGCACATTGTAGAAGATGAACGCGGCCCCAGCCTCCCCAACGCCATTGTCAGCCATGCAGCTGTAGGTGCCCGAGTCCTCCTCGCTCGTGGGGTCGATCAGGAGGTTGCTGAGCAGGAAGCGTGTCTTGTTGTAGGCAGAGACGCCAGAGCCATCTTTGGCCCAGGTGACCCGTGGTGGGGGGATCCCGCTGGCCACACACTCCAGAATGAGGCTCTGGCCCTTGGTGACAATGATGGTCTGAGCCTCAGGAGGGTAGATTATCCGGGCTGCCTCCGCTGTGGAGCCTGGAGAGGAGAGATGGAGGAAGGAGGTGCATGGGAAGGAAGGTGGCTGGTAGGAGAGCACCCCGTGCACTGGGTAGGTAGGGATAATGGTAGGGCACACTGTTTTCCTGTGCTGGGACAGGTAAATGGCAATGCAGGACAAGAGCGACATTCTGTAAGGGTTCTGTGTACACAACAAAGCCACCTTTCCAAAGGGCTAAGGGCCTTTGCCCACCCACCACCAAGAACAAATTCTAAGGAAGCATGGCAATCCCAGGGCTGCATACACATACTACAGGAACAGACCTTGGAGCTTTCTGCTGCTGGAAAGGAGTTTTCTCAGTGTGATAGGTTGACTTAGGAAGAAGAAACTGATAATGATTCACACAGAAAACCAGCTGCAATAGCACTGGTCAGGGCCCACAGAGCTGGAGATGTGCAGTGAAGAGAGAATGGCTTACGTCTCACACGGAGCCTCTCGCTGGAGACTGAAGTTTTCACCTCCTGTGTCACGGGGTTGTAGGCAGCACATTTATAAGTCCCCTCATCCTCCTGGCTAGCATTAACGATCTGAAGGTTCCCAGATGGCATAATAAGATAATTGTCTGTAGAAAGAGAAGAGAAAGTGGCACGTGGTCACAAGATATGCTCTTGTCCAGCCTCCTGGAAGACATGCAGTGTCCTGAAGAAAAGCTGGACAAGGAGGAAAGAAAAAACCATGATGTCCTAGGCAGCATGGACATCAGGGAGACTATGCCAGGGACTCTTAAACTAATTTGTGATCAGACAGATGGCAAAGGGACAAGGAGGCAGCAGGTACAAACAGCTCATGCTGATAAGGAAGGGTGAAACTGAGGGTCCTGTGATGGAACCTGTTGGGACAGACCGCTGTGCACTCACCTCGGGAGGCCTCCAGCCACTCCTGCTTCACACTGTAGCGGACCTGAGCCTTAGGGTGACTTTCAGGCAGGTCACAGGCAATCACAGCTGTGTTCCCTTCATCCACCTCGATCACATGCTGGCCATCGAACTTGAAATCTTTGAGATCTGCGAAGAGAGCACAAGACAAGGCATCTCAGTGGCTGGCTAAACATCTCAGTATCAGCTCATCCTCTCCACATGGACTCAGGGCTGTTTCATCGTGGTGCCAGCGGAGGACTGCTCTGACCCCAGCAGCTAGGAAAACTGGCTTGCTTTCACAGTTTTTTTTTTTTCCCCCAAAATGAGTAACTTAAAACACAGCTTCTGGAGAAACTGCTTGCTCCAGGGCTGGGAAACTGGGTGTGAAAAATCCTGCCCTGAGAGTAAAAAGTAAGCCAATTTACTGCAGCACTGAAGGGTGGCCAAAAATGGTCCTTCTGCCGCCTGCTATTTCACACATGGCTGCTGTCCTGCTACTGAGAAGCTGACTTTGTAGTCGTAACTCAGGGAGCCCAGCCTGCTTCAAGGGTGTACAGATGCCAGGTGGGAGGAAGTGTGTGATACCCCCGGGCTCCTCCCACACCTGAGAAATCAGCATCTCTGCTCCAGGCACTCTTGCTCCTATCAAACATATTGCAGCTGAAAGTTGGTTAACCATGATGCTTCACGTGTGCCCAAGGTCCAGTTAAAAGAACAGGGACTTGCAAGGAAAACCAGCTCCTCCTCTACGTTGCACAGCTGCTCCTTCCTTAAAGCAGCTGTGAAAACCCTGTCTCACCACATCCCTCTGTCCCTCAGGCTGTGATGGGAGCTCCCACCCTGGCTGAGCTGATGTGGGCAGCAGGACTGGAAGCACAGGAACTAAGAGGAAGGGCTACCTCACGTCTTGTTTTCTTTTCCCTGTTTTTTTAAAGCAGGAGGAGAAGACTGCAGCAAAACCTGACAGATCTTGCAGGGCAGTGAGCATGCCAACCTGGCCCCACCAAACTTTCCAAGGAGAAAACTGGTTTCCATTCTCTCTGGTCATGATGGCAAATCTTGGTGAGGTACTGCAAGCTTCAAGTTTGTCTCAGACAGCCTGTGCTATGAGGGAGGAGGTTTTGTGCCAGGAATTAAGTCCCTTATGTGCATTTTTACAATGCTGTACACCAGCCCAGGCAGCCACTAGTGAAAACGGCACATCCCACAGCTGGTTGTCACAGGTGACAGGTTATGCTGTCACATCAAGGCTTGGTTGGTGCCTCTTCCCAGGACCCATGGCTAATAGATCTCCTGAATGGCATGCCATTAAATCTGGATGAGACCACACTTTCTTTGCAAAATCCCACTCTAAGGCAGTGTGTTGCATCTTCAACAGCACATGGCCAATGCTGTGGCTGACAGCTCCCTCGCCCCTAGAAACCCATCCCAGGACGTGGCACCCGTGACCTCAGGCAGTGTGGGGAGCCAGGAGGGTTGGTGGCAGGCAGCCTCCCTTGGCAGCCCCAGCCAGCAGAAAAATGTGGGGTTTGTTCTCTGGGAAATGCAACAGCACTCCAAGAGCAAAAGACAACTCTGGCTCCAAGCTTCTCCCACCCACAGTCATGGAAAAGTGACATGAAATTTCTCAAGCAGAGTTTCTGATTAAAGCAAGATCCTTTATGGGGTTTAAATAAAAACCAGCTCTCTTGGCAAGGCATTGAGATAGCCTCCCCGAGCGTGGTGTGGAGGGGCTGTCGGGTGGCTGCTGGGAGAGCCAGCGGTCCTGGGCCCAGATCTGAGGGAAGGGGAAGAGGTTGAAAAGAAAAGGGGAGGTTTTGCAATGTCATAAAAATTATTTGCAGTGAACATGCTTAATACTTCTGGAATTTCTTGGCATTGTTCAATTAAGAAAAAAAAAATAAAAAGAAGGAATATGGGTGAACTTCAGAAATGTGATTAATCCTTAAAGACAAGCTGAGGAGGGGAGCCATGTTTCCACTGGATATTAAAGCCAGATGAAAATTAACTCTTAACTTGTGAAAAGCTGGCAGGGCCTCACACTCCTCTTCCAATGAAAGTTACTGCTGGGGAGGGGAAGGATGATGGATATTTTCTCCTCTTTGCTTTTTATATTTGATTAAGGAATAAAATAGTGAGAGCCAGAGAAATGGAAAGAGGTGGAGAAGTGGCGAAAGCCCAGTGTCTGCCTGCCCACATTGCGCATGTTTCTCTGATCAACAAAATATAAACGAGCATCAGGAAAATTAATGCGTGCCTTGGTGGTCTGGATTCATCACAGCCAAATTAAGGCTTTGGAGCCAAGGCATAGGCTCCAGCAATTCTGGCAGGGATCTGCATACACACACTTATACGTGTACGTGTATATGCACATGCACCCTGAAGAGAAGGGGCCCGAGAGCTTGGAAAAAGAGCAGACCCAAGGTCCTGGCATAGCAGAGCCATCTCGAAGATGGAAAATTATGACCCTGTGCCAGGGCACACCCTGGGATGACTGTGGGCTGGGCAGACACGGGGACCTCTCACATGCAGCCCCCCAGATGGTCGCTCAGCCCACATCTCATAGCTGTGAGTGTTGCAGCCCCACAGTAAGGAGCGGGACCTGCAGCTCTTCCTGGCTGTGGACAGAGGGGAAAAGAACAGAGGAAAGGGATCCTGGGGTGGCTGGGGGAGCAGGAACAAGATGCCTCTGGAGAAGCAGAGTGAAACTGGCAGGGGAGAGGGGAAAAATAGCAGAACTGGGACAAACTACTTTCTCATATGCCAAGTGTACAAGATTCCTGCCAAACTACTCTCCTAAATTCCTGCTTCCCTGCAGAGAACAAGACTGGTTTACTTGCCAGTGGATTTGGCCGCGGGCGATCTCAACTGCCCCGCTTGCTACTGGTATGGGCATGTAGAGCCATCCTTTAGCACCGATGGGTCAGCCAGAGCTAGTGAGGGGTGGTCAGGATCAACCCTGTCCCCCTCTGCGCATGGGACAAGCTCTCCCACACACATCCTGTTGCATTTGGCCCCAGCACAGCTAAACAGAGGGCACAATGCCAAGCTGGGACAACCAGCTTCGTCGTGGGCGGTTCAAACAAGCTGCCCCTGAGTTGTGGGGGGACCATGCATGTGCCCCCTAGCATGGAGGGGTGAAGGAGAGGATCCATGCCAGGGGGATATGCAGCACTTGCCTCTTCAGCTGCCCAGCCAGCAGCAGCCAGGCCCCACAACTAACATGCAATTTGCACCAGAGTCTAACAACCACTGCAGCTGGGAGAAACCACATCCCCTCTCACTGGCTGGGTTTTCCTTCTCATATGGCAGTACCCAGCGTGCCAGCCCATGTTCTTGTCCTTAAAAGACACGCCTGACCACAGTGAAGCAAGTCTTCATCTACCAGCCATTGTCCGGGAGGTGCTGCAGACAGACAGACTGAGCACTGCCAATCCCAGCCATGCTGGGATAAGAGGGCTTTTTTCCCCCCCTTTTTTTCCCTTTTTTGTTTAGGAGGGAGTGCAACCAAAGGCCATTGCTTGTGTCCATCTGCAGCTGGCTCCGAGGCGCAATGGGGTGAACCGGGGTGCAGGAAAGGTCAGCCCTGCAGCCAACTGTGCTGCTGTCACTCGGGAGGGAAACCAGCTGAATCCCAGGGCTGGGGGCCAAGCAACGAGGCAGGCGAGACAGAGCTGATTAAATGAATGGGAGGCCATAAATAACTTTGGAGAAGAAGCAACAGTAAATAAAATGATGGCCCCCAAGGTAAAAGTTCTCACTGCTATAAGGAAGAGTGAAAGAGAGAAGGGAGGGAGCTTGAGAAGGGGAATAGGCAGGAATGGGGTCCTCCAGCCTGGGAGCAGGCACCTTCCACTGTTCCTCCCTCAGCTATGAGAGCAGCTTAGGGCTATGGCTCTTGCTCCTCATCCAGCCAGCACCATAGGAGTCTGGGCACTGGTGCTGTCACCACCAGATTCCTCCCACCCTGCTGAGACAGGCACAGTGCGGCAGACTCCTGCCTACTCACACCCCCTCAGCACATCTCCCCCACCATGCCTCAGCCTCACTCTCCCACCCCAGGCCCATCTCACAGTCCTCATGCCACAGCTCCTCTGGCTCACAAAACATCACCTGTGTTTTCCTTCTCTCCCCTCCTCACACCGCCTCTGGCCCCAGGGCCAGAGCCCCCCCCCGCGCCATGCCTGCTCTGCAAATGCTTTTCCAACAGGCAGCCATCCCCTTCCTTCCTTCCCTCCCTCCCTCTTGCCATTGCCTCTGGGGAGTATCAGCAGAGGCCCGGGTGAAGGATAACGAATGGGGCTGTCTTCAGAAAGCAGCTGCAAATTCCTGGGGGATGCCCAGCCTGACCCCGTACAGGGTCACTGCCCACAAGCACCACACGCTGAGGCCCAGCTTCCCACACGTGCTGCCACAAGGCCGAGGACTGACCTCACCCGTGGCACCGATGAAGGGAACAGGACAACTAGCCTCCCTTGCCCACAGCATTCCCAGACACAGGTACCTGCAATGCCACACCCCTGGCCACAGGGATACTGGAACGGGTAGAGTTTCTTTGCTGTACCCCTCATCTATTTTTGTTGTTGTTTTGTTTTCAAATGTTATGTCTGTCCAGGTCAGGCTTGCCACGGTGTTTGCTACCCTGATTTTCTATGCATACAGATGAGTACAGGGAGTTACACAGCTCTCGCTACCTCTGCTCATCAGCTTTGCTCCAGCCCTGCACTTCAGTTGCCCCCATGAGCTCCATGAAGAGCTCCTGACCTTACAAGCCTCTGGCTGCTACAGAACCAGCCTTCAGCACCATGTACAAGTCCTTGGAATTACTTGGCCCCACCAGAACCCACTGCAGTTGTGCCTTTTACATACAGCACCTCTACACAGGAGAGGGGCTGGGGCAGGGCTTTCTGGCAGGATGGCAACTTTGCTACCTAAAATCAGGCATAAAAAATAGCTATCTCTTCTTTGCAGTTGTCATTCATGTGAAGACTTAAAGCCTGGCTTGGAAAACCAGGAATACTCCTGTTTTATCCATACAAACTGTCCCAGACTGCAGTGCTGCCCTGCAGGGCTGATCTTGTACACCACGGTCAGGCCAGGAGTGGTCAGCAGGTGTGACCTGCACAGATCAGCTCTAACTGGACTCAAAGGTGCCCAAGTAATGCCTGAAGTTCCGCTCCCTTTATTGAAATCCTTCCCTTCTGCAAATCCCTCTTCCCTCCTCTTGGATATGCAACAGCTATTTTATCTCTGCTGAAGAAATTAAATGCAAGTTTCAAACAGCTCTCTGGGCCAGGGGGAAGAGAGATGGCCTCGGTGTCCCTGTGCTGCAGATGAGAGAAGGAGGTATCAAGTGTGGCTGCCAGCACTGCAGCGATGGTCATCTGCTTGCTGACTGTCAGAAAAGCACAACAGGCCCCGGGGACCGGGCACACAGAGCCTGGGGCACTCCAGAGTGTTTCCTTCAAAGAAGGCTGAAATAAGGGAGGGTAAACAGCCTAAAAGTTGGCCAGACAATGTTACCTACACTCCTCAAAACCTAGTAAGTAACTTCTTCCAATGATTCCAGGTCCTCTTCCAAAATAAACCTAAGCCCTGAAAATATTTCCATCGCCCTCCTTCCCACCGCTTTCATTCACACATTCCAGTTTCACTCTCCCCCTGCCACTCCAAAATAATTTTTGGATGGAACTAAGACTTCCAGAGAGTTTTCTTTCAGTCTCGAAGGTTATCTGGAGGAGATAACCAGTATTGCAGTATCAACTGCAATGCTGACCTGCCAGGGACTTTCCTCTCACCATGGTTGCCACTGAATCAGCTCAGAGCAAGGTCCTGTAGAGGAGGTCTGGAGCAGGAGAACCTGGGACACACCTGCTACCACAGCTTTCAAACTCACCACCAAGTGGTGCTCCCTGTTCTTTCAGACCACTGCAATGCCACTCTTACAAGCAGCCTCCAGCTCATGAACATGAGACTCCCTGGAGGGTTTTCCTCCCACACCTTCAGTCCCACAACTTTACTGGGATGCCCTATCTCTCTCTTCACTTATTGACTGTTTAATCTTCCCACCTGGGTGTTCTCTGTCACCCGAGGCTATCCAGGTGTGTGGGATACAGCCTCTGCCATCCCCAGCTACCCCTGAGGATGAGTGACCCATGCAGCACAGCACAGCATAGTGGTTTTCCACAATGGATTAGCTGCTTGATCATCCAACCTCTGGCTCCAGTTTTGTGAGCTCCACTGAATGGTGCTCCTGACTTTCTCTCAAAAATGCATTTGCCACGACAGGGGCCACAGCAATGGCCAAGTCCTCCTCTTTTGCATGCACTTCCCCAGTTGCAATCTAGAAGGCCAAGGTGATTTGGCTCCTGGAGAGGGCTGATGTACTACTCAGTGGCTTTGATTTGTCCTGAAGGACATGGTGGGGCCTTCTGATGCTTCAGGACCTGCTTCCCATCCACCACTGATGCTAGACTAAAGCAGTCAGATAGGTCAGACATACTTTTCCCAGGAAATAGAGCTGGTGGTGGTGGGCTGGAGTGCGAGTAAAAGAAGAAAAGGAGATCAGCTAAGCAAGAGCTAATCAGGCTGAGGAGCTGCGCACACTCTACTTTCCTAAATGCAAACCATGCCCTTGGTAATCCCATCCACCTCTCCCCTCCTCTCCTTCTCTCTATCAGGCCACCAGCACACACAGCCTCTTTTCTGCTCTGGAATGTGTTCTCCGAAACTTAATCTCAGCATGGGGCTCAGGCCAAATCCCCCGACAGATTCGGCCCCGTGACAACCCCCTCCCACCCTGCCTCAGAGTTCAGCAACTCTCTCCTTGCTTTCCCTGGCCTCCTCCTCCTCCCACCCAGCCTGGCCTAAACATTTCACTCCTGATTAATGTATCAGTGACAAACCAATAGTTCTTGGCTTTAAAGCAAAGCCAGGCCCCACTTTGCACAAACATCTTCACTTCTTCATTTTCTTAAGACAGCCCCAAACTCCATTTTGCTGGGAAAGATGAAGCCCTTTCTACGCTCAGGGGCTGTCACTGCAAGGCAATGTCAGCCTCCTCTGCACACACTTGCTCCACCAAAGACTGAGATTTCTGAGAAGGTGGGCTCTCCACTGCTTCCTCAGATGCATCCAAATACAGCACCTTCTGTCCAAATACACACAACATCTGTCTAAAACTAGGTGCTTATGAGAAAAATTGCCCACGTAAGACACCTCTGTCCATAAACATGTCTCTCAATGCCAGAGGGTAGCAGTGAGGAGCATGTAAGCTCAGGGATAGGAGCAAAGTCCCTTGCTCAGAGTTGTGTCTCAGGAAGGCAACAAAACTTAGCACACACTGACCCTGTGCTGGCAGCAGTCCTGCAGCAGCCCCAGCAGCAGTTGGGTAATCAGCACCAGCAGGTACCATCTATAAACTCCATCAATAAGTAAGGAACCAGAGGAGGCAGCCTGACTGTCAAGAAACCAACCACACACACAAACCCCATAGCTCAGGTATTCCCTAATCTTGCAAAAACTTCTCCCTGCAGGACAGGTCTGCAGATCACATAGGAGGAGGACAGCTTGAGTCAGACTGGGCCACACCATGTCAGCCAGTGTATGATCAAAAATGCTACAAAAGGGCCTACGCCAAAGGAGTCATCCCTTGATGCCAGAACGAACAAGCAAGAATGGATGAGCCTCTCAAGATGTGTGAGTGATGGCCCAAGCAAAGCAGGGGCTGAGAAGAACTAAAGCTACTCACTAGCCAAGGTGACCACTGCAGGGACACTGGCAATGACTCCTTCAGGCACACGAGCGATGCACTGGTATCGGCCCACGGTGTGGTTGTTGAGAGCCGTGATGATGAGCTTCCCTCGCTCCACATGGATACCCAGCACCTCGTCTGATCCAGTCAGCTCCTTCCCGTTCAGTCTCCAGGTGAGGTTCACTCGAGGGGGGTCCACCACACACCCCAGGCTGACTGGGCCCCCTAGTTTTTGGACAATAGAAGCAGGTTGTACTGTGACCTGCAGAGATTCACCTGCACAGAGGGAAAAAATGGGAATAAGAAAGCTCTATGAGACTCAGCAACAGAAGGGACAACGGAAAAAGCTGCAGTGCTGTACATTTTGCATTCCTCACAGCCTCTCCTTGTGTTGCACCATCCCCCTGTCTCCTCACACACCCACCCTAATTTTTAGAGATGTACACCAGCCCCATTTCTTCTTGGCATTGCCTAAGAGAAACATTCTACTCCAAATGTATCTCTCCCTCTGGAGAGGGGTTTGAACCTAGACCTTTGGTCAAGGCTACTCAGGGAACAGCAGAGAGAGGAAACCTCTTTGTCCTTGAGGCATGGTTACACTAAACAGCATCAAGGCAAACCAGAATGGGTAAGAAAAGACACTCACTCAGTTTGGCAAAACAGCTGGCAGCTGCAAGCATGAGGCAAGGGATGGGGGACATGGGCCTCTTCCTTCCACGTGTCATTGCCATCCCATGCGGTGTGACCTGGGGCGCCCAGGGAAGGGTCCCATAAGCTGCCTCAGGGGATGCAGTGGATCTGTGGCAGTGGATTCCTGCGGATAACAATAGACATGATAGATGAAACCCTCAGGTTTCCCTTCTGCTTTCCAGTCCTGCCTGGCTTCTCTACCAACATCCCTAAAATGCCATAGATTCACCAATCCAGTGGCCCAAGGAGACTACAGATGCTGATGCAAGCATTTCTCTTCTCCAGCCCCTCCCCCAGGCACAGTTGAGAGTCTCCCAAGACATCCCATCCTCTGTACACATGCACACACAGACACACATTCCCCTTCCACATTTCATACTAGGCACAGTGAATGACAGTGACGCACACCAGGCAGTTTTCAGAAGCAAAACACAAACATTTCCAACAAAGTGTCACTGAAGATATACACTGAGTCATGCTGCCATTTCTTGGCTATGTCTGAAATATATTCTATTTTGAACACTGAAGTAAATGAGCAGTACAAAAGAGACTCAACCTATGAAAATACTTCAGATTAACTGTTCTGCCTGAAACACACCACCTATTTTAAGTCTATACAAACCACCAGGTTAATATTTGAAAGCATCAACTAGCCCCAGAAACCTAGAAATGTAAGGCCACCTCTCACAACCCAGGCTGCTGTGAAGAGCTGCACACTGCAGCAGCTGTTTTGGAGACTCATAAACGAACACTAAAGCAGACAAGCCAGATCAGGGGGATAAAAGACCTCCGTAGCTGCCCCAAGAGACACCTCAGATGTCAGACTGAATTCATCTTTAATCAAAGGCAACAGGCTGAAGGCAAGAGATTTCCCTCTACTGTAATCATAATGCAGCTATAGGATTTTGAGTTTCCTTCAGCTGCAGCACTAAGATGACCTGCAGAACTGCTCCTGTGGCATGTCTACAGGGAAGAAACCCAAGAAAAGCCCAAAGCAGCCACGGCAGTCAGCCCAAGCAGCAGTTATACTGCCTGCTCCTCCTGCAGCAATCGGCTCATTAGCCACAATTACCACCCTCAGGAGCACCTGACTCTGTGGTTATTTCCTACTTGGAAATATGGCCACCATGGTCATTGCTTGAGCCATCACCTTCTTGAGCACGTGCTCTCCATACCCATCTCAGTCAAAAAGAGAGCACAAGTCCCTTTAAGTATAACCTCCAAAATTAAACCTCCTAACTCCTGAAGTAAGGACTGACATATACTCCCCCTGAGATGCTTGGTGAGTTGTTCAAGGAAAAGCTGATTACTGCTAGCAAGGAAACCACAGCATTTGGGGAAATATCACCAAGCTGTTCTCAAATGACTTTGCTTGGCTTTTGGTGATAGCAAAGGTGCAAAAGTGCAGTGCAGGGCAACGTCCATGCCCAGCCATGCTGAGGCCCACATTGTGACAGCAAGAATCCAGCAGGCTGGCTTGCATGCCTCTCTGCAAATTGGGCTATCCCTCTGACAGCCTCACAAGCTGTCCCTTCCCCCCCACCTATCCCAGAGTCCTGCTTGAAAGAGAAGTCATGGAAGAGACATTAATATAAAGTTCAGAAGAGAGAAGAAAAACCTCCTCTGAGCTGGTGATTTCAAAAGGAATAAACACCAAGTAAAGAGACATGCTGCTGAAGTTTTGGAAAGGCCACAATCAGTATCTTTATATGGCCCTTTGCAGGCCAGTATGAGTTCAGTGCACTGGCTCTATACAAGGCAGCTCTTTCCAGGAGTTAAACAGTCATGGGTAGAGTGGCTGTGAGGCCAAGATGACAAGCCCTGATGAGAGGCAGAGTAAATTAAGTCAAGCTTGGCATGGCCCAATGTGGCTTCCAGGCATCCAGGAGCATTAGACATTTGGCTTATCCTGAAGGCATTCGGAGAGAACAGCCAGGTCATACTCCAGCTACTGCCACAGCCCCGTTACATGTGAAAATCTCTGTAGGTAACCTTCAGTACCAAAGAGACAAGGCAGCTACTTCCCTCCCACACACCTCATCCTTCTTGGTATTCACTCTCCTCACCTGACAAGAGTCTCAAAATTTCCACCATGAACCAGCATATAGTGTCTGGTTCACTAATCACTAAGATAGTGATTGACTTTAATGACTGACTAGGAGACACATTTGAAGTGCTCAAGTTTATTTCTCCATGTAAGACAGCCACCAAAGCACTCTTCATTATGCCACAGCCACCATGGCAAGTCACCACTAATGATGGCTCTAAAAGTGCCCTGGGTCTGTCCACACCAGAACACAGTGTTGATACCACTGATGCACAAGTTAACGTCCCACTAATTACACTCATCTGGAAAAGACTTTGAAGTAGTTCAGGCTTAAAAACACCCCACACCCTAAGGTTTACTGGAGATGGAAAGCCTTTCACTGATGTAGACGAAACACTTTAGGGTAGGACTTACTGTCTGGCTGAACAGTGTTGGAAGCCTACAGAGCAAAGCTGACTCATTCCCCCTGTCTGGATAGGTTTTGCAGCAGGATGGAAAAATGTTGGACAGAAAGGAGTTACTCCCTGGAGCCTAGGCTGAGGGAGGGGGTAGGCAAAGACGTTCCCAACCAGACCTCCCTGCAGCTCTGCATTGCACAGAGCCTCTGGCCAGAAGGGCAAAGCCAAAGGCACAGAACTATGCATGAGACCCTTAGTGAGCTAGGACCACCCAGGCACATCGATGCAATGACTGAACTGGCTGCCCCAGGTCTGTGAAAAGACGAAGAGCAATAGGTGGGGAGAAAAAAAGGGGACCTCAAAAAATTTGGCCGCAGCACTGGGCAGAGTGAACAGTATTGAGCAAAGAATGAGGAGAGAAGGTGTGTTGCTACAAGTGTATGTACAGTACCTCCTCAAACCTCCAGGCAAGAGTATGAGCTCTAAATAGGGACATGTGGCCATTTCTTTCACAGCTGAGTGAAGTACAAAAAGTAAATAGCCAGTATAAAAATAATGAGAAAAATGAATGAAAACATCAATTCCAAAAGAACTATTAGGATCCAGGGCCAGATTTTGAAATTCTCAGCTTCCACAATTGAAGCCAGATTTTCAAAAGCATTCAGTTCTTGACATGCTGAGCTCTCCTGAATAGGCAACCAACTTATTTCGATGCCTAAATGGGAGCTGACCTCTTTTGAAAATGCTGCCCTTAAGCAGCCTGCAATAGTGCAAAGCAAGGAACTTTATTAATCAGGCAGCTTTTCGATCTGCCTCGTGTCCCTGCCAGCAGCACCAAAGTGGACTGCAGTGGGAGAGGAGGCAGAGGTGGGGAGTGGAGGAGACCCCAGGCACTCCAGCTGACTTCCCAGAGGTGGTGGTCTCAGGCAGGGGTTGCACCAAGGGATGCAGGGCTGCTGCATGACAGAGTTCTGCTCTGCTGCCTCCCCTTCCCAGGGCAGGTACCTTGTGAGGTGCTTCTGCTTGCCAACACTTCTGCAGCCATCAACAACACCAGCCTTGACAGCTCCCGCTTAATTCCTAGCTAGGAAAAGTAAGAGTTAAAGTAATTTAAAGAGCTTCAAGAGGGAGGGAAAACAAACAAAAAAAGTTGTTTATTTATTTTAAATTCTTTCCTGCCAGGTTAAAATAACAATTTCCTGTCGGTGGAGCTCTAAGTCCCTTTCAGACAGCCCACTAAATCAAAAGAGGGGCCATTAGGAGGACAAAATTAACGAGAACTTACTCAGTTAAGGAGGGGTGGTAGAGGTGTAAAATCTGTCGGCTCGGCTTCCCAGTACACACGTAAGCCGAGCGAGGCCCCTGCCTGCAGCCCCAGCTGTGCCGCGGTGATGGAGGGCACTGCAAAGGCAGTGGAGTGAGAAAGGATAACCAGAGGTGAAGATATAAAAAGGAAGAAAGACCTGCGCCTGCGCGGGGGGGTGACAAAGCTCGAAAGGAAAAAGGGATTTGAATTAAACACAGGCCGCAGGAGAGGTGTTTGCTGATTAGAAACTGAAGGTTTTACTGAGGAAATGCAGCTCACAGCCCCAAGCCCCCTTCTGCTTAACAAGGGCCAGCTAAGCAGCCCTTGTTACTACCACACTGCCTGTAATTTACAAGGCTCCCAAATAGAAACCAGGCTGTGCCCCAGCTCCGGGGCAGCATCCCCGCACCACACACCCCAGCCCCACCGGCAGGCTGCGGGGATGCGCAGGCACCGGGAGATGTGCAAAGCCACCGACGCACATGGCAGCGGTCGGGGGTTGTGGCAGGCACACAACCTTGGGAACTTCTTCCTGCAAGGGATGAACGGTGGGAAAGGGTAGGGACTGCTTTGCAGCGAGGTAAAGGCTGCAGCAACTTCAGCCCAGCTACCAGCTGGGGACACCCTGGGTGACTCTGGAAAATTCACTGCAGCTGCTCTCTGTTTCCAGCAGGTCAAGTAGGGACAGTGATACTCCCAGCTCTCTGCTTCATACATTGAGACCTCAACTTTTCAGAAAAAGCAATGTCTTACACAATATTATGAGCCAATTTTACTTGTAATCATTAGTTTTTAATACAAGACAGTACTTTTTTCCCCTCACAAAGCAAAAACCACTGGGAAAAAAAAAAGTGAAGGAGAAAGTAACAACAGTACTCCTTGGTTTTACAAACTGAGGAATTGGAGGGCTAGAAGAGGAAGCCAGAGGTTATCCAGTAGAGAAGTGGCAGGCAGGGCTGGAAATCAAAAGCTCTCTGAGTGGAACTTCCATCCCACCAAACAAGCTGTTCTTGGATCCCAAATCTTTTCCATCCCCTCTGAAAAATCCCACTGTACAACTTTATAATCCTCTAGCCACAGAAATACTGTCCGGATGACATACCTGAGCAGATCAGCTGTGAAGTCCCTGCATGACTCCCGGGCATGGACAGCAATCTAGGCATCCCTGACTGCTTCTCCCCAACCCATCAAACCGTAACATCCCAAAAGGCAAAATTAACCTCTACTCAACCCCCGTCCCCATTTCAAAGTATTAATTTCACACTGTAAAGTTAGGTTCATTTTCTCTGAAAGGGTTTGGGAAAAGGAGAGGTTGGTTCAGGACAGAACTCCTCTTCCCACGGAACAGCACGGGCTGCTGATGGGGATGTGTGTGCAGGTGCCATACGGAATGGTGGGATCCCAAATGGGAAGCGGCTGGTATCAGGAGAGGGCAGAAAGGCAGAACCCCGTGTTACACCACCATGTTTGAAGTCAAGGTGGTAGCACAGTGTTTGTGGAAACAGGGATAAAAGCTTGTCTGTTTTTCCCTCTGTAGTACTGAGAGCTGCTGATTCCAAAGCGCATTAGCTCTTTTAACATAGCCCTTGACTAACTGTATGAGGGGGTCCCCTCCTCCCTTTTTAAAAGTGATTAGACAAAAAAGACTCTTAGTGCCTGCTTGTGAGCTCAGAGACTCCATCAAAAAGCGACAGCAGAGAAAGCTTGGGATAAATTCATGCTCATAGTCAGAAGAAAAATATACAGAATAAAACCTGGCATGGCACAACCACCACAGATCAGTGAGTTTTCCTAAAAACTGCAACTGGGTGACCCTAAAAATGAACCACAGTTTTAATTCAAGCAAGTCCTGAGCAACAGACACCTCTTTAAAAAATAAACTAAACTTGCAGGTAAAACTCTTTTTCTTGAACATAACTGCTCATGCAAACCAAACCAGCAACAAACCAAACATGCAAACATCTTTGTAATGTTTTTGTCTTCCTCAAGATGAAGCTACTTCCCTGAGCAGTTCCTTTCCACAACAGCCTGCAGCACCACCAGGGAGAGGACTGGGCATGTTGGCTTTGAATTAGCAACAGGATGTAAAGCCTTTTCATAGCCTGTCTGACTTTCGCTCATATCCCTGAGGACCCAATGCCTGCAGTTTCTGGCACCTCTCCATTCAACAGCTCCTCGGAACTGAGTGCCACTTTCCAGCTGGCATTGATCAGGCTGACTTTGCTGAGACCCAGCAAAACCTTTCACGATGGCATTTTGGTCAGCCAGAAGGGTGAGGCCATGTGAAGAACGAAATGCCAGCCTCACACCTTCTACGGGCTCCCCAGTGTCACCATGGTGGTGGCACGGCAGCAAGTGTGGCTCACCTTGGGCGCTGCCTGTGGCATGGCAGTCCTAGGGTGCCTGGATCTGCCAAGGTGTCTCTAGAGGGGAAAGCTCTAGTGCAGGAAGGCCACGGATGCAAGGATGGCCTTGCCCCACAGGATACACGTCCTTTTTTTCACAGTTATCAGGAGAGGAGCTCTGTGCTAAAACACAGAGTATACACACTGGCTTTTGCTGCCCCTTGGCGTGCCCTGAAAGCAGCTCCAGTCCTTGAAAAGACAAGGCTAAAGCGTAAGAAAAAAAGAAAACCCACGTCCTTTCTTCAATATCATGCTCCCCCCCATGCCCTAGACACTTAATTTCCCTTCTTCCCCCCGCCCCCTCCCCGGCTTCCCCCTCTATTCTGAGTAAATTCAATTTGACAACCCTGCTAATTGGATAAACGCTGCTCCCTACGCTCCTTTAAGGCTGCCCGCTTTTCTCTCCTTATTTTTGGAGGGCGATTGTGGCTGTTCTTTAACATGAATTCCATCTGCTTTATTTCTTCTCTGCCCATTCAAGACCCCTCCTGAATATGTATGAGGGGCTGTGCCCCCCCACCCCCTTTCTCCTCCATCCCACCTCCCTCCCTCATCACCCCCCACCCCTCTCCCTGCCCTCTCCCATTGCCCGGGACAATAACCCCCCAAATGCCCCTTTCTCCCACCCGGGCCCTTTTTGCTTTAGATAAACACAGGCAGTGTCAAGTGTGAGGAGGGGGGGAAGGATGGGGTTCAACTGCCAGTCAAGCCTCGGGCCCTCAATGAAGCCCGGAGGCCTACCCTAATCTGCTGCATGCTTGCCATATGGGAGCTGTGTTGCCCTGGGAAACACTAACAGGCAGAACGGAGCTTAATAGAGTCCATATTCATTGTAATGCAGTGAAATGGCTCGAGGGACTATTGCCCCTTGGGTCTGTTTTCATTCTTCTGTTCCCCCTCTTTCTTTTCTCTCTCTTTTTTTTTTTTAATAAATTTTTTTCCTCCCCTCCTTCTCCCCCTCCCTTTTTTTTTTTCGGGTTTTTTTTTCTCCTTCTTTCTTCCTCTCAAAAGGACGAAGTCCCTGGAGAGCTCTAATCTGGAGAGGCTGGGGGCTCCCCGAAGGGCTGGCCAGCCGATGGGGCAAGAGCAGGAACGGGGAAGGGAGAGGGTGGAAGTGGTTAGGGAGGCGAAGGAGAGGTGGAGGGCAAGAGGAAAGTAGTAACTAATAAGCATGCAGCCGGCCAGCTGTCAAGATGCTGACAATACTGCTCGAGGTGCAAAGAATCCGACAGCCAGCGCTGGCATGGAGCTGGCGCAGCGTCCCCCCGGGAAGCGCCTGCCTCCCCGAAGAGCCTCCCCAAACGCGGCACAAGGAATGAAAAAAAAAAAAAAAAGAGAGAAGGGCGCAGATGGAGCGTGCTGCACAGCCTCTTCAGAAACAAAGTGCACCTAGGAAACAGATGTTGTTGCTGCAACAAGCCTGGAACTACTGGCTGCTCTCTGGTTCCTTCTCCCAAGTGCGTGCAGGGAGAAAGTGGCCCTGGAGCAGTTGCTGGGACTGCCACTGTGGCTGGGACATGCTGCCTCTCCAATCAAAACCTTTCAGTCCAGCTTCACTCCCAAACTGGGAGAGCTGCCACCGTTTTAGATAAATTTTTCCTCTGCACTCTCCACTCTTCTCGTTCTCGATCCACCTGTAGACTCACCTGCCTCGCAGCTAAGGTCCCAGTTTAGAGAGCAGAAGAATCTGAAAGGGGTGTACATCTGCAGCACTTACAAAAGGGTGCAGGTCTGCATTCAGGCGCTGGATCTTCAAATGTCAGAGAACCAGGAGAATTGCTGCTATCAAGGTCACGCGAGATCAAGGCCCCACAGAGCTGCAGCTCAACCTACTCTCTCGCCAAGGCAAGGAAAAAAGGGTCAGGATCCCCTTGAAAACCACGTCAGTGTAGTCACACACTTGTGATGAGTTATCTGCTCTGGAGTGTTTTCAGTTTTCCTCACAGCTGCTACAAACTCAGCTGATGGTGCAGAAACAAAGTCTTGCTTTTCAGAGGCTTTGCTATGGGACAACACTGAATCTTCATGGTAAGAAGTATTTCAGAGGAGGCAACAGGAAAGGGGTCACCCACTGATAGCAGTATGATGTAAAAACACATCTTCAGTCTCAGAAGCAAGGGATTTAGTGCACTGTATTACTTGCCTGAGTATTCTATCTCTTGCCATATGAAAACAATACTCACTTTATCATACCCATCACAACTAAAGCTGGAGATCAGTGTCAATGCAGTGAGAGCTGCAGGCAGATGCTGTACTGAACAGAGAACAATCCCAATGTCCTCTAGACTTCACACCATTGGGTAGAAGAGTTAATTACTTTAGGAGGCTTGATACAAGCACTAACAAAATTTACCTGTCAATACCTTTCTGCTCTTTGGACAAAGAGGAAAAGCATGTAACAGAGAGCTGGGAGCAAGTGAAAGTGTACATCTGGGCAAGAAAAGGCCAAGAATGGCTCTGCTGGCAACTGATGCAGTGGGACCCACAGGATGCATGGCGAGTGCCCAACTGATGCAGCTGGCTCTGGTCTGGGCTCCCCCATGCTGAATCCTACATCAACATGAGCCGGGCCTCAGGTTGTTTGCTCCCTGTCAGCAGCTGCAGTGGAGGAGGGCGCTGGGAGCCATGGGCAGTTCCCACCAGGAGCTGTCATCACACAGGCACAGATGTGCCTGTGAGTAGTTTACATTACTCAGGGCACTGCTTTTGTTTTTCCCTTCTCATCCTTTGCAAACAAAAAAACCCCAAACCTTGAAATCTGATGTTGAGAGTCTAATTGCCTCTTGGGTTAGGGAGAGGTCAGAGAGAAGGCAGGCCCAGCAGACACAGGGGAAGTGATGCGGGGCAAAAGCCCTCAAAGATACTAAAGGGAAGTGTGGAATAAAGGTGACAGAAAAGAAAAAATAGAAAATTTAATTTAGATGAGAGGGTCAAGAAAGAGGAAGAAGAAGAGTTGGGATTTTGGCAGATATCCTTATGTTGTGTTTATGTCCACTGCATCAAGGACATGGCAATGCCACAGCTCACCTGCCACATGTGTATCCAGGTTCAAGTCCTTATCCTGTTTTCCTCTGAGCAGGGGCTGTCACCTCACACCATCACCTCTCAAGTAATTCTCTCTTCCCCAACTGACACTCTTCCACTTAATATAAATGTGGCCTGCTCAGAATAGCAGGAAAACCACTCCTGCTCTCCACCAGAAACTTCTTGCTTCTCTAAGACAAAAGCTTAATCAACAGACACACTTTCACAATATGCTTTGGTCCCAGTGAAACAGTATTTTTCCATAGGGATCCCAAACAGGATGCTCTTCTCCAAAGCTGTTTTCACTCTGCATCACTTCCCCAGCAACTCCTGGAGAACCCACACAGCCAACTCTCACTCCCTGACTGCAAGACATCAAGATGTTGACCAGAACTGCAGCCAGAGCAGTTGTCAATAATGGGAAGGAAGACCACAAATCATGGCAAAGGTGTGACAGGGAGATGCCCTGAAAAGACCCATCTCCATTTTATTGTTTCTGTCACGTGATGGGGTCAAGCTTGCAACAGGACAGACAATAAATATCCCAGCATCCATTCATGCTGGTAACCACCAGCTGAAAGACTCCTCTCTCTGTGTAATATAAACCAAAGCACAGAGGAGTGGTGGACAAACCCCACCAGTCAGTATCTGCAAGGGGCACAGCCGGAGTGCTTGGGGAGCAAGCACATTTCAGTGTCTGTCAGCTATAGCCACCTGCAAACTGAGACTCAGATGCTCCTGTTCACAGAGTGGATCACAAGACAGAGGCAGCAGATATGGATGCTTTTTAAGAGCAGCCCACCTCTTCATACGCTTAAACATAAGCCTACCTTTAAGTACCAAACTAAAAAAAACAAGAAAAAAGCAAAAAAAAAACCCAAATAATCTTTGTCTAGGAACAATAGAAAAATCTTGTCCATGTCCAATTAGAAACAGTAATAGAGTGAAACAAATACATGAACAATAAAAAAACAAACAAACAGGAAAGTCCACAGAAACTGCCAGCAACTCTGTTAAGCTTTCCTTGGGGAAGCTGCTATGGGGAAATTTTCCTCTTGGCAGAGCAAAGATTTGGGTAGGTTTTCTAGGCTCTGAACCTTCTTCCAGTGTGTATCTGAAGAGCAAGAGTGCCTACAACTGTTGCCATAAAAAACTGACCAAGCTTACCATAAACATAAGCCAGTGTCACAGGAGAAATACCTGCTAAAACAACACATCCTCTGGATTATAACAGAGGACTTGATTCTACTGCCACCAAAATCAGCCTGATCTTTGCCATGACTTCAATGGGAGCAGGCCCAGAAACTGCATTAACAAGCACAAGGCTAGTTTAACACAGTTGACATCAAAATCCAGAAGAGCACACAAAAGAGAGAGGACAAAGTACTTGCCAGTAACGCCAATACAAAGTTTAATCCCCAAATGGCTGGCTTTAGAGACATCCCCATCACCACCATAAAGAGAAACTGCCTTCTAGTTTGCACTCCTTTCAGCAATGACTTGTTGCCGGGATGCAAAAGAGCACAAGCCTCTTTTCCTTGTCCTTTGAAGATGGTATTTAAAAGTTTGGGTGTTTTTTTCTTTCATAAATTTGGGAATAAATGCGAGTTTTTACTCTCCATAGCTGTCACTAAATTGCTTTTCACTAACAAGAATAATTTTCGTTATGGGAGCAGGTCAAAGACCTCTAGAACTCTCTGCTGGGACAAATTTCCCCTGGAAGACATGTCACTACTCCAAAAAACACAAGAGGAAGCTCAAGGCTAGCAAAACAAAGGGACTGTCCATAGAAAATGCTCCAGCTTGTGCCAAATGCCTGAGGTGGGGTGTGGGGATTAGCGCCGAGTGCCAGAACCCAGATGGGCTGAGCCAGAGCCCTACTTTGTGACATGATCAGCAGCTGTCACGCTGCTCCAAAACCCTATGGGGCCCACCCCAGGTGAAAAATCATGGGGGACAAACTCACAATGGGGTGTCAGGATGGGTGACAGATTTCCCCTCTTCCCAGAGATGAAGAGAGAGTTGCATTGCTTAGGCTTTTTTAAAGGTTGTGTTTGCATGTGATTTGCCTCATTTATCATCACAACAATAAACATGCCTTTCCAAAAATGATGGCCCCGTTGAGGACAGTGAGCCAAACATGGCAGGAGATGAATCAAGACCTCAGGTCCCCCAGCACAGACAGATGGGCAGGGCTGGCATATGGCTTCTCCCTGTCAACAAG